CGTGAGATAATCACACAATCAAGCCCGTTGATTCATTTACCACATCATAGTCATAGCATGTTTTCTGGCGTATGGTGGAACATTTAAGATCTACCTTCTTAGGAGACTTCGAGCATCCAACACTATGCTGCTAACTATAGTTGCTATATTGTACATTAGAACCCCAGAACTCAGAGTTTATACTGTCTCATCAATGTCTCTCCATTTCCCACACCCTTCAATCTTTATGCTTTTAAAAATTGCCAAGGACCTTGAAGAGGTGTGTGTGTGTGTGTGTGTGTGTGTGTGTGTGTGTGTGTGTGTGTGTGTGTGGTGCTAGGAACTGAACTGAGGGCTTTGTTTTTGCTAGGCAAGTGCTCTACCCCTCAGCTACATCCTTGGCTCTGAGTTTCATTCTTGTGATAAGTACATTAGAAAGTAAAGCGGAGGGAATCTTATTTACTTATTTCCAAATGACAAAAATAAACCCACTGTGTTAATATAAATGATGTCTTCCTTTATGAAAAATGAATGTGTTTGACAGAACAAGAACTTTAGCATGCAAATGACAATGCTTTACATATTCAGAGGACCGAATTTACATACTGGATTCTGTCTTCCATCTGCTGTGGTAGCACTTGCTCTGTGTCCTCTTTATACTTGGGAAGGACTGAAAAAAGAAAATAACATCTGAGTGTAACTGGGAGAATAGCATCAAGGTTGTGACCCTCCCCGCAGGGGTTTGGGCACGCAGGATTCTCCAGTAGCCTTCACAAACTGCTTTATACTCACCAGTAACATTTGCTTTGCTGCACTTGTTAATCTGAACACTTACACTGTCTGAACTCGGGAGAGAAGCAGAAATTAAAGAAAATTGCAGCTGCCGAGACCTGTGTAAACCAATCTTACTTCTTTGATTACAGTTTTGGGGAAGACCTGACTTTTTTTTCCTTCTTCAGTAAGCATACCCTTAATGAACATGAAATGAGTGAATTCTTTCTATTTCATTTAGAAGTGAAAATTAGTATTTCTTCTAATTGTTTTTGGTGGTGTTTAAAATGTCCTTTAAGTATTATTTTTTTTTCCCTTGCATGGCTGGTGGGTCAATGATTCTAGCCCAAATTGGGGAATTATATAAAGCCGCTCTAGCCTGTGTAGCTCCATGGACTCTGAATTCAGACCAACAGGACAGGTCAGGTCTGGTCTGGCTATAGGAGATAGTTTTGTTCCTGTTTCTGCTTCCCTGACATCATAAACCCAAGATATTTTGGAGCCTTTCAAGACAGAGTTAAAAATATATTGTAAAGGACATTTGTAATTTTAACTTTAAGATTTATTTATTTATTTTTATTTTATGTGTATTAATGTTTTGCCTGTATATATGTAAATGTACCCATGCATTCAGTGCCTGTGGAGGCCAGAAAAGGGCATTGGATCCCCTGGAACTGAAGGGTGCTAGGAACCAAATCTGAGTCCTCTGCAAGAGCAGCCAGTGCTCTTAACCACTGAATCACCTCTCCAGTCCCAATTTTAAGTTTTATACAAGTGCTTTAAGAAAGTCAAGCCAGGTGCAGTGGCACATGCCTTTAATCCCAGCAGAGGCAGGTGGATCTCTACAAATTCAAGGCCAGCCTGGTGTACAGAGAGCATTCCAGGCCAACTGAGACTACAGGGAGACCCTGTTTTAAAAAAAAAGAAACATGGGGCTGGAGGAATGGCTCAGTGGTTAAGAGCACTGACTGCTCATGCAGAGGACCCGGGTTCGATTCCCAGCACCCACATGGCGGCTATGAACTGTCTTTAACTCCAGTTCCAGGGGACTCTGAAGCCCTCTTCTGACCTCTGTGGCACTGCACGACACAGGTGCACTAACATACATGCAGGCAATACACTCATACACATAAAATAATAAATAAAAAATTAAAAAAAGAAAAACAGGTGGAGTTAATTTCTATGTTTTCTTTAACCCAAAATTTCTAAACTATTTCAATATGATATATAATATAACATATAAATAAAAGAAAGGGATGTTTTACTTAAAAATGTGTGATCTTTTACATCTGTTGAGTTTTTTGACAGGGTCTCCATAGTCCAAACCCATCTGGAACTCACTGTGTAGACCAGTCTGGCCTTGATCTCAGAGATCCACCTCTGTGGGAGGTCTCCTGAGTGCTGGGATTAAAGGTGCACATCTGCTGTTTTATACTTACAGCACATTTCTTTTTGGACCAGACACATTTTGAGTGCTCAGTAACCACTATGTGGGAACTACTATATTTGACAGAGCGGTGCTAGTTACTTTATCTCTCTCTCTCCTCTCTCTCTCTCTCTCTCTCTCTCTCTCTCTTTCTCTCTCTCTCTCTTTCTCTCTCTCTCGACAGCTTTTGGCAGTCATTCCTTTCCTCTGCCTTGTTGAGGCAGGGTCTCTCTTGTTGTCATGCTGTTTACTCAGGGCTAGCTGGCCTGAAAGCATCCCAGGATTCTTGTCTCTACCGCCCATCTCACTATAGTGGTGCTGGGATTATAGATGTGTGCCATAGCATCTGGCTTTTTATGTAGGTTCTGCAGATCAAACTCAGGTGGTTAGGCTTGCATGGCCATCATTTTAAGCCATCTCCCCAGCCCCCTTCTGGTTAATACAGTTCTCATGAGAGAAGATGAGTTCACTATGAGCTGCATCTAAATGCCTCTTAATACCGTCCGCCAAAATTGGTCAGAGTTTTCTGTTCAGTAGCAGAGATGAATCTGTAGACAGAATGGTTTCAAAGCATCCTGTATAAATTTGTAGGTTAAAGTTGAAATGTGTAAGGGCAAATAATTCAGTGTTGTAATTCTCTGTTAGTAATTTGTCATTCCTCTTCCAAGCTCACCCTTCAACTTAATGGTGTAGAATCATATTTTGGGCCTGGGGAGATGGCTTAATGGGTGAAGCACTTGCTGTACAATCAGGGGGACCTGATTTGACCTCCCAGAACCTAGGTAAAGCTGGATAGTAGTGTGTGCATGTCTGTAGTCCCAGTGCCCTGTAGTAAGATGGCAGAGACAGGAGAGCCCCAGAAGCGTGTGGGCCAGCTCGCCTGCATACACAAAGAGTAAGAAACTCCATGGCAAACAAGACAGAAGGTGAGGGCCAGTACCCAAACTTGTCCTCTGACTTCTACATGCATGCCTCAGCTTGTGCACGCCATATGCACACACATGACACCCCCACAGATTAAGATAAAAACATTTTATGTTCATTGACTCTGTGGGTGAGGAAACCAAAAAGGGTACAAACGCCAGGTGGTTCCTCCACATCTGGGGTCTCAGCTGGGTTGGTAACTTCTGGGGGTGTAGATCTAGGGCTAGAGGACCCACTGTCAAGATGACATTTTCTCTCATGTGTCTGGTATCTGCTGGGATGCTGGAAGGACAGACTTTTTTGTCTTCATGAAACTCAAAATAGAGCAGGAGAGTCTAATACGTAAAAAACCCCACAAACAAACTCAAATCTGGGTCTTCACGATGGCTCAGGGTTAAAGAGTATTTAGTTTAGGCCTTGAAACTCAAGGAGGAAGGAAAGAACGGACTCCTGAAAATTGTGCTCCACATGTGTGCTGGGGCATATTCGTGTCTGTACTCATACACACAACCAAAAAACAGCAATAAAAATAACAACAACAACAACAACAAAAACCTACCAGGCATGGTGGCACATGCTTGTAAATCCCAGCACTTAGGAGGTGGATGTAGGAGGATCACAAGTTCCAGGCTAGCCAGGGTTACATATTGAGACCCTGTTTCACACAAACGAACTAACCCACAACCTAACTATGATATATGCTAATTGCCCCCCCAAATGCTATCAGGATGTTGTTGGGGCAGTTAGGTGGTTTCAACAGAAAACGCTGGTCAGGATGATACATCCTGGTGATACATGAACCACACCTTAGGAATAAGAATTATTATTCCTAAGAAACATTTCAACATTTATTCACTGTGAAAACAGTTTCCACTGGCTTAAGGAAATGTTCAGACACATCTGAGATTTGAATTCTGAGGTTTTACCCTTGGGGCTCGATTGAAGTGGCTAAGAATACCATTTGGTTTCTGTGATTTAGGTCCTTAATTTGGCTAGTTGATGAATTTACAATCTGATGACCTTGCTGGTGATTGCATCAGGTGTTTGAATATGTAAATCTCCGAGGACCCTGCCATGCCACATTTTCGTCACTTTGATGGCCATTGTGGCAGGTTTGAATTGCTTTGGTAGTGATGGAGACAGTTGCTTGACTGTTTTCTTGTTTTTCTTCACAGGGGGAAAGAGGTCCTCGGGGTCTTCCTGGACTTCGAGGTGAGGAAGGATGTCCAGGTGTGAGGGGACCGAAGGTGAGCATGACCTCAAGCTGTGGATCCTTTCCCTTCCTCCATTTCACCCCTTGAGTTGGAGGAAAATCTTAATTCCTCAACATAGCTATGAAGAGTTAACTTCTTAGACTGAAAGCTGCCCGGAAGTGAAGTCTACAAGGAGTTTGCTGTGAGGCAATTTCAGGACACAGCAGCAGTGAAGTGATGATGTAAGATAGAGGGGAAATGACCTAAAAAAGGTACACTACCAGTCAGGTTCTCACTATGGGTAAGCATCTCCATGCTGCTGAGAAACTCTGGGATGAGGGATTTGGGGGCTTATATTCCAAATCCCATCGGGCAGGAATGGAGGGCTGGTTCTGGGGGCCATTAATAATTAAATTAATTAATTAAAGGGCTAGCACTTTCCCCTGTTCTGCATGTGGGTAGAGTAGACTCTGGTACTATGAAAAAAAACCCTCAAGAAAAGACAGTGCTGGTGGTTGGAAGGTAGGCTTAATTTGGTTTCTGTTGCTGTGATAAATACTGGGACCAAAACCAACTTGGGGAAGGAAGGGTTTATTTCGGCTTACAAGTTATAGTCCATTGTTGAGGGAAGTCAAGTCAGGGACGCAAGGCAGGAACCTGGAAGCAGGAACTTGAACATAGATCATGGAGGAATGCTGCTTAATGGTGGTTTGCTCAGCTACCGTTCTTATACAGCCCAGGCTCATATGCCTAGGGCCAGCACTGCCTGCTGTGGACTAGGCCCTCTACATAAATTAGCAATCAAGAAGATGATCCGCAGACACGCCCACAGGCCAGTCTGGTGGAGGCAGTTCCTTCAGTTGAGATTCCCTTGTTCCAAATGACGGGTTTGTATCAAGTTGTCAAAAACTAACCAGCACAGCATTCTTTTTAAAATGGTTGCATTAAATGTCCTCAGCCTTTCAGGACTGGAGAATCTCCTTTGATAAGGTCAGAAGAATATCTACACTAGCAAAGGTGTGAAGGGGACTTTCAGCCACGCTGCTCACACGCCATGTAGCCCAGCAAGTTATTCTTTCAATGAATTTGTCCTGTTCCTGGAAAGCCCCGCCTGCTTGCTACCCAGTACATTTTCAATTTTGTCTGAAAAATAGGGTCATTATGAAAATAAGTGGCACTGAGGCTGGAGAGCTGGCTCAGTAGTTAAGAGCACTGACTGCTCTTGCAGATGACCCGGGTTTGGGTCCCAGCACCCACATGGTAGCTAACAACCATTCTTAGCTCTAGTTCCAGGGGCTGTGATGCCCTCTTCTGGTCTCCTCGAGCATTTCATGCATAGGTGCACTTACATACGTGCAGGCAAAACACTCATACACGTAAAATAAAAATAAATAAATAAAAAATTTTTAAAACATGGCAGGTCACTGCTGCTCCCTGTTACGTCTTCAGTGTGAGGAGTGTGAGGTGCTGTTTTCATCAGGCACAGGAAAGGAGAATGTAGAGTTTCTGTGAAACCCATTAAGTTTGCTGGAGGGAAAGGTGTCTTTGATTTAATTTAATAATTTTATTTTGTTCAAATGAGGTAACATAGATTTTATTTTTTTGAGATAAGGTCTCACTATGTAGCCCTGACTGGTCTGGAACTCACTATGTAGACCAGGATAGCCTTAAACTTGCAGAGATTTCCCTGCCTCTGCCTACTGAGTGCTGAGATTAAAGGTGTGTAACACCATGCCAGGCTAATGTGCCTTTCTAAACGAGTCAAGGGTTTAAAAATCTCATCCTGTTCAAGTCTTTTTTTTTTGAACAGTACTTGTAATTGAACCTAGTGTCACATCTAAGCTCTGCAAGCACTTTACTACTGAGCTAAATCCTCAGCCCTCAAGTTTTTTTTTTTTTAATGAATATGTGAATTGTATCTGTTAATGAAGCTGAGTGTCATATTTCAATACTGTATGGAGAACATACCAGTTAAATCCATCCTCCCCCTTTTTCTCCTCTTCCCCATCACCTTCCTAACCTCTACTAAATAATATTCTACATTCAGGTTGGCTTTTTGGTTCTTTGAAACTATTGCATATGCATTACTGACTTTTTTATGTCTGACTTATTCATTTAACAGTGTCCTTCAGTTCTATTTTGTGATTAAATGACAAGATTTCTTTTCTTTTGTGTGGTTGAATAACATTCCATTTTATATATATACAAATTGTATATATTCCATTATATATATATATCACATTAAACCCATTTGTCTATTGATGGGCACCTTGGTTGATTTCATATCTTGGATATGAATAGTGCTGCAATAAACACAGGCGTGAAGGTGTCTCTTTGGCATGGTAATTTCATTTCTTTTGGACATAGACTCAATTAGTTTTATTTCTTCCTAATTTCAGGGAGCAAGAGGATTTTCAGGTGAAAAGGTAGGAACTTCTTTTCTTTTTTTAAACTGGGTAGCAGTTTCTTTGGGAGACACAATACTGAGTCCACTTCCTTTTCTTGGACTTCAGTGAAGTGTAGAACTTTTTAAACTTTAAAAAAAAATTTTATTTATTATTTTTATTTTATGTGTATGTGTGTATTGCCTGCATGTAGGTAAGTGCACCCGTGTTGTGCAATGCCTGTGGAGGTCAGAAGAGGCTATTGGATACCCTGGGACTGGAGTTATGGGTATTGTTAGCTGCCATGTGGGTGCTGGGATTCAAACCCTGGTCTCCTTCAAGAACAACCAGTGTTCTTTCTTAACCACTCCTGAAGTGTAAAACTTTTAGACAAGGAAATAGGTCTTGATAATAGTTGACCACCAGGCTGATGGGTGACTATTTGTAAGACATATATTTAAGCTCAAAGGTAGTGACATATGTTATTATTTTCAAGTCTTGCCACTCCATAGTAATTGAACCACCATATTTATCACACAGTGGTCTAAAAGAGTAGGCCCTGAACCCATGATGTGGAAGGAAGGTTGGGGTCAGGGTGTGTGTTTTATGGGAGAGGGGTAATAGAACAGGGTCGTCACAATAAATGAGTAGCTTCCCATCCAGAGTCAGAACCAAAGGATCTAATTGTTCATTTATTTGCTCCAAAAATACACGTTGTGCATACACTCTGCTCCCCTCACTACCTTGGAAATGGTAAGAACTGGTAAAAAGACAGACAAAGGTTCACGGGCTGATCTTACCCTTTCTAGAACCACTGATCACCTCCTTTGACAAAGATGTCCCATAAATTCTAATTCAAGAGGTTAATATTCTTATTGTCATGTATCAATTCAGTTTTACTTGGGTTTAAAACTGAATTTTTAAACATAATTTTCTTGTGTGGACAGTAGGAGTAACCAACTCTTTGATTTAAATGAATTTTATCTGGCTTGCAAAATTCTGGTTGCTGGAGTATAGCCTTTGTGAGCTGCCTGATGTGGGTGCTGGGAACTGAACTCTGGTTCTGGAAGAGCGACAAGTACTCTTATCCACTGAGCCATCTCTCTAGCACCTAAAATTTAACTCATCACTAATATTACTAAGTTCCTCTTGGTTTTTTTCTTTCCTTTTATTTTTATTGCATTTTAAATTTATCATTGTGTGTATGTATACATGTGTGGGCATGTGTATGCCACAGTGTAAGTGTGGAAGTCAGAGGGAAAACCTATGTGAGTCAGTTCTCTCCTTCTACTACGTGGGTCTCAGGGATTGAACTTGGGTCATCAGACTTGGCAACAAGTGCCTTTACCCACTGAGCCGTCTCAGTGGCTTCTCTTTTTTATTTTTATGTTTACCAAAATATGTACATATGCATACAATACACATTTATTTCCTCCTTAACCTGTGATAGTTTGTTTTATTTTTCAGATTAATCCATGCACATTCATCAGCCTTTTTGAAATTAAAAAATACCAATGACAAAGGGCCTAATATACTTAATTTTTATTTTTGAGACAAGATCTCATCCAGGCTGGCTAAACTCTTGATCCGCCTCCTTCAGACTGCCCCGGGCTGGCTAAACTCTAGATCCTCCTGCTTCAGACTCCTGAGCACTGAGATTATATGTGTGGGCCACCACACCCAGCTACAAGAGCCATCTGTAACATGTGACAACCAGTGGGAAACATTTCATCTGCTTTGGCAAAGGCGTTGCTGGTTCTCAGTGCTAGGTTTCAAGACTCTTTTTTCTCCATTCATAACTGTGTGCTCTCTTCTTCCTATCTTCCTCCTCCTCCTTCTCACTCTCCTACCCCGTCTTCCCCCTCTTCCCCCACTTCCTTCTTCTCACCGAAACCATCTAGAAGATAGTAAGGACTATTTTTGGAAGTCTGTAATCATTACTTTTAAATAACTGGGTGTACTATCAGTTGTTTCAGAAGGTCTGTATTCTGTCAACTGAAAAATAATACCAGCACCTTTTCTCCTGTCCATGACATTTTGCTTTTCCTTTATTGCACAGGGAAGCCCTGGAGAGGACGGCGTCAGTGGGTTGCATGGAGAACAGGTACAGACCGTCTCACTCGGTGTGTCTTCTTGACTGCTCTGGCATTATTCATCTATTCATTTTACACGTTAATTAATTGCGTGTGTGTGCGTGCACATGCACATGTGGAAGACCCCTTCCACAAGTTCTCTCCTTCCACCATGTGGTTCCCTGGGATTGGACTCAGATTATCAGGCGTGGTGGCAAGTGCCTTTACCCGCTGAGCCAACCATTTATTTTTAAATCAGAGAAATGTTTAGTAAGGGCTCAAAAACTCTGTCATTTTTTTCTCATTCTTCAAGGTTTTCTTGCACTTGGTATTCAGTTTTCATTTTTGTTTTCCTTCAGCTCTGTTCTTTGTAGGGTTTATATCATATATTTTGTATTTCTTGGCTCTGTCCTTAAGGTTTCTTATTTATTTATTTATTTATTTATTTATTTATTTATTATTTATTTATTTTTTAGACAGGGTCTCACTGTGTAGCCCTGGTTGGCCTGGAATTCACTATGTAGACCAGGTTGGCCTGGAACTCATAGGGACCCACCTCCCTTTACCTCCTGAGTGCTGAAATTAAAGGCCTGGGTTTCATGCTCACTTGGTTTCTTATCTTTTCTCTTACCACCTTCATTTTATTAATTTTTTTTTCTGACTTCTGCAGGAATATCTCAAGCCAATATTTTAAATTAATTGTATGAAATTTTTGCAAGAGTGAGTTTTTTGTTTTTGAGTCTTGAAAATAATTTGTTCATTGGAAGACTAGATTGAAAAATAATGTTTTTTGACTCTAAAAAATTCTTTAAAAATTTCATTATGTCTATATGTATATGATATACTTTGATCATATTTCCCTATTAAAATATTTTAATTAATTTGTTACTTTTGTCTCTCTCTTTTTTTTTTTTTTTTCCGGAGCTGAGGACTGAATCCAGGGCCTTGTACTTGCTAGGCAAGTACTCTACCACTGAGCTAAATCCCCAACCCCAGTTTGTTATTTTTAGTTTATGTGTGTGAGTATATTGCCTGTGTGTATGTAAGTGCACCTATGTCATGCAATGTGGACGTCAGAAGGTTAAGAAGAGGTCATTGGATTCCCCTGGAACTGGAGTTAGAGATAGTTGTTAGCTGCCACCTGGGTGCTGGGACTCAAACCCAGGCCTTCTGCAAGAGCAGTCAGTGTTCTTAACCACTGAGCCATCTCTGTAGCCCCTATTATCCTCTCTTAGTCCCCTCCCCACTTTCACTGAACCCCTTTTTCTTCCCAACAAGTCTCCCTCCTATTTTCATGACATTTTGTTTGTGTGCATTTAATTAGGGTTGCATGATCGGCACGAGCTGGGCACGAGTGCGGTTATTTACACAAGCCAGGGCCACTCACCAGTGTTTACCACTAAGGAATATGCCTTGCTTCTCTCAACAACCACGAACCACCTATCGCTCCTCAGGGAGCTCCATGACTAAATGTGCATAGGCCCAGTCTTGAATGGGTCTTGTGCAGTAGCCACAGCTGCCTGAGTTTATGGTGCAGTAGGCATGTCCTGTCCTGAAGACCTTGCACAGCATCCTTCCCATCCTGCGCCCCTTACATTTTTTTCTGTCTCTTTTTTTTTCATGATGTTTCCTGAGTCTTGGAGTGAAAAACCACCTTTTGTTTTCCAGTTAACAGTGTACCTTAATGTCTTTGAAAGTTAGTGCATAAAATCATGGCATTTCCATACGTCTAAGTCTTTATCCTTTGCTCTTACTCATCTCCCTGTCCCACCGCCATCCCCATTCGCCTGTCTTGTTCCCCTATCTTCCTCCCTGACGCATGTCCCTCCTTCTGTTCTCAGGATAGTCTGTGATTAACAGCGAGCACAAGTTTTCCTGATTTTAGCATACAGCGGCAACAGGGCTTAAAGCTAATCTATGTTATTTGTCCTCATCCTCCCAACGCAAGGACCCTTCACTTGTAGTCGGCCCCTCCCAGGTGGCCTATTGAAGAATCGCGCTCAACACACAGGGACAAAACCAAGTTTCGGGATGCAAAAGCAAGAGGAATTTATTCATACACAGGCGCCTGCGGACGCAGAGTCCCGCTCGAGTCAGGACTTGCGTGCCGGGCTTAGTTTGGGGGCGCTTTTTATAGAGCAGAAGCAAGGTACAGAAGCAGATGCATGGTTACAAGATTATTATTAGTGCATTTCAATGGGTACAAGGTATGAGGAAACAGTATTGCCAAATTCAGAGGGGGCTATGGGTGAAACTGATTGTTATCGTTAACTTCCCAGTAGGGGCTGTTATCACTAACTTCCCGGTAGGGGCCTCAGGGTGGTGGCAGGTGGTCCGACTGCAAACGTCCTATCTTCCACTGCTAGTTTCACAAGACCTGGGTTAGAATCTTGGCTTATCGAATGGCTGATTACAGTTCTTTTTCTAAAATGGCCTTCCTGCTGTCAGTCGGGTCCTTCATTATGACCTTTCAGAATGTTATTTCCATCTTACTCTTTGTTCAATTCCAGCAGTAGACATTGTTGTCGTTACCATTTTATGTAGCTGATACTTCCTTTGTTTTATTCTTGTATTATTAGCAGCATGGATACCTTCCTTTAAGTATTATGGATACCTTCAAAAGAACATGAAATTACCATGTGTCTTTTGCCTAAGGTAAACCTTGTAGAATTTCCTTTATGAAGGTTGGTTCATTGTAAACTCTTGGCTTTTGTTTCTCTGAAACCTCTTTATAATATTTTTTTCCCTGAAAAATATCTCATTTGAGTGAACAATTCTGTGTTGATAGTTGTTCTCACTCAGCACTCTGAAAATGTAATTTCTTAATCTTCTGGTTTCTTTTGTCTTATGTCTTTTTTTTTAGAATATTTTAATTTTTATTTTTTTAAGTGTATGAGTGTATTGCCTACCTGTGTAAGTGCTCCCATGTTGTGTGATGCCTGCAGAGGTCGGAAGATGCGTTGGATTCCCTGGAACTGGAATTACAGATGGTTGTTAGTCACCATGTGGGTGCTGGGAATTGAACCCAGGTCCTCTGCGTGAGCAGCCAGTGCTCTTAACCACTGAGCCACCTCTCTAACCCCTTTGTTTTACATCTTTCATTATTGCTGTTAAGAAGTTATCTGCCAAAATAATTATTTCACTGCAAGCAACAGTTCAAAAATATGCATCAGGCTGCTTTAAAAATTCTTTGTTGTTTGACAGTTTCACTATAATGTATCTAGATGTGGATTTCTTTTATTTATTCTGCTTGGAACTTATTAAGCTTTTGAATCCACATATGCAAATCTTAGCAAATATTTAGAAAATTGCCCTATTGAAATTTTTATTTATTGTGTTTGCCAGCTTTCCATCACTGGAATGAAATACTGACATAATTTACATGCAAAGAGAAAAAGTTTATTTTCATTCATGGTTTTAAAGATCCCAGTCCCTGGTTGCATGGACCTATTCCTCTTAGGCCTCTGGTGGGGGTGCCAGAGGTAATGTTGGGAAGTGTGTGGTAGAGAAAACTGCCACTTCATGGACAGGAAGCAAAAGAAAAAGAAGAAAGGGCTGGGTTCCCACAATTCCCTTCAAGGGTTCAATCTAGTGGCTGGAGAAGCGCCTACGAGGCCCTGCCTCTAAAGGTCCGCAGCATCTCCCAGTACCACCACAGTGGGGACCAAGCTTCAATGCAGAGACCTGGGGGGGACAGTCAACACCCAAAGCAGAGCATCTCCATTAGTAGAAAGTTATGAGAATGTCTCCTCCTGTCATCAGCGGCTCAGTCTCTTTTTCACACTTTGGTTTTCTTTTGGTCTTTCTGGGCTGAATTCTATATAATTTCTTCTGTTTCTCCCCTTCCTCCCTCCTTCCCTCCTTCCTCTCTTTCTCTCCCCCCTCCCGCCCCCAGGGTCTCACTATATAGTTCTGGCTAACCTGGAACTCACTATGTAGACCAGGCTGGCCTCCAACTCACAGAGATCTGCCTGCCTCTGCCTCTAGAGTGCTGGAATGAAAGATCTGTGCCACCACACCCTGCCTCAGTTTCTAATTTGCTAATTCTTACTTTACTTCTGTTTACTCTGCTATTTAACGTGTTAATTATTTTTTAATTTCACTTATATTTTTTTCAGCTAAAAATCCTATTTGATCCTCCTAACAAGTTACCTGTGTCCTACTTTTCCTTCATTATCGTCTTATTAATCTACCTAAGAGCTATTTTAAGTTATCTGGAATTTGAAATTGTTTCTGGTGAGAGGGTTATTCAGAATGCCTCTAATCTGTCCTATCATTAGAGTGCTAAAGCAAATTTCCCCTCTTGGCTAGAATGTAAAACTATATTTGTGGAGTGACTAATAGAAGAAAGATTTTTGCATATTTATTTTTCTTTTCATAGGGTGACCGTGGAGCCTCAGGGTCATCTGGAGAGAAAGGAGACACGGGAAATAGGGTAGAGTATAAGGGTACTCTTCTCATACATCTAATGCACAAATGGATACCAGCAGTTTACTTTAATCTGTGGGAAAGAATCATCTAGTGGTTTTAACAGGAGGTTGAGTGTTAAAGGACACTTAATTTTAGATGACTGTTTGGAAGCTTTCCTAGAGTCCTGACATGGCTGGTAGAGAGTTCTATGAATTTGGTACCTCACCCTTTGAACTTTAGAACTATGATCACGTACTCGGTGGCTCATAAGCTTTCCATGGCTCCCTGTCACTGATGACTTAGTCTCACATCCAAGGCCTTTCAACCCCACTCTTCCCCATCTTCAGCTGTGTCCCTCCCAGTCAAAAAGAACCACTCCTTCCCCAGCACATTCCTTATGCTGACTGCCTCTATGTCTTTGACCATGCCAGGTGGTCCTCCTGGAATGCCTTTTCCATGATTATGTCTTCAGTGCTAATTTGATTATTACCCCACCCTCCAATGTCCAATTCATTTTTTTTTCTTCCTCACAGCAGTTTCCTTGATGTTGTGTGAGACTTCTCCTGGGGAAATGTGAACTAGTACCTACTTGTATCAGATAGGCAATCAACAACAGACCAACATAAGGACTTCACCTAAGTCTAGCTTTATGAACCAGTGAGCTTATGGGGGTTACTTACAAGAGGCTAGGTGAAGGATTACTTACAGGGGCAGGGATGACTCAAAGGTAGTTGCATCACCAAATGAATGAAGACTCATGAAAGTTGCTGCCCAGGTCAGGTTGGAGAGCCTTCTTTAGGCAGAATGACTGTTTCCTGTCCTCAGTAGTTGTCCACTGCTTCTATAACCTTTGGGAGGGACCTTGTGAGTCTTGTAAGTTTCAGGCACATCCTGAGACTTGTGAGTTGTTTACTTTCTGAATATAAAGGAATCTTCCTTCAGGACAGAATGTTTCAATAGGATGAAGTTTCTGTATAACACTTGACTATGTCAATTTGTAGTGTTTTCTCTCTCTCTCTCTCTCTCTCTCTCTCTCTCTCTCCTCTACATCTTAAATCAGGATTGTTTACTGTCTCATGTCATGGTTTTATTTCTTTATAAGGGAAGGACTATACCTGCCCTATGCACTACAGCTCTTGCTTTCTGTGCCCCTGGCAGACATTACAAATTGAGCAGGGATTCCAACATGACTGAAGGAGCCATCTCAACACAGAGCTGTAATTGGTTTCTCTTGATTTCTAGGTTCACATAGGATGTCAGATTTATTTACTCACCCTAATTTGCACTCCTCATGGAATTAGAGCAGTGCTTTTCTTTCAAGGGTGAAGAATTAACAGGGTGGTCTGGCTTTCTGATAAGTGAAACAGAAGGGAGAGAATAAAAAGACAATTCTCTTTAGTTAGGTCTAATTTCTAACTTGAAGTTTGTTGATCAGAATTTGGAGAGTGCACCACAGGTCCTTAACACGAAAAGCTTTAAGTTTCATGTAAATTGAGCTAAATTTAATAAATAAATCTGTCAAGTGCTGCCTACCTGTGAGATATTTTGCTAACTAGGGAGAGTGGTTCAAAGATAGTAAGTTGTGGCTATGACTAACCAAGAGCTATTAGCCTGTGCAGGAAATGCAGTTCCTAAAGGAAGTACTCCAGCACAAGACAGGATAGCTGTAAAGGATGCTGAACAGTGCAAATAAAGAAATCAGTGGGACACAGTGAGGAGAGGAAGCCAAAACAGGGCTGTTTTCCTTCATTTAATCAGTCCTCAAAATCATTTGAGCATCTGTTGTAATCCAGACATCATTTAGAAAAGAGAGTTAAACAGGTGTGGCTCTGCATCTCAGGATTGGCTTCTCTCGAGAGAGACAGACACTGATGAAGTAATCATGAAAACATCTATAAGATGACCATGGAAATAGATGCATGGATAGAGACGTGACGAGGATGTGACCCTCCTGTGCCGCCAGGAAAGCTTCCTGAGGAGGTGATGGTGGGATGAAATCTAAAGGAAGTTGCCACAGCACGTGATGAGGAGCCCAGGATAACCTCTTTCCATATTGAGGGTTATGGAGGACTCTTGTTTCCAGGGAGCTCAGCAAATCACCGTATTGTTTCTCAGACCTCTAGTTTCCAGGAGACACAGCAAATCACCATATTGCCTCTCAGACCTATATGAGAGGGGAGGGGAGAGACTCAGACAAGGAAAAATCACAAGGAAAGGTACAGAGTTAAAAACCTCAGTGTAGAAGAGGGACTTTTGTAGGAGGGAATTTTGTAGGAGCAGAGGAGAGATTAAAAAGTATAAAGAGTAAAAGGAGTGCCTTGAAAGTCATTTTAATATCTTGTTTATGAGTTTTGTTTATTTCTCCTCCGAGTAATCGAGAATTGTTGGAGGTTTCTGATGAAGGGAGATACCTTTAAAGGTGTGGGAGACTAATCTGGAAGCTTAATGTGCCAGTGAGGGACTAGAAAGAATGACAGATCACAGTAGGAACCCTGGGCAAGACTGTCCTGAACATCTTTTCTTATTCTATTTAATCCCTACAATGGTCCTATACGGTGGTATTTTACCCTCCTGATTGCTGGGGTTACACATGTCTGTCATTACTCCTGGGTCCTTGCTTCTTCCTGTAAGATCTTACTCTCTTAACTCTGCCCACATCCATGATGTATAACGTCTCCTTTTTTGTTTTTCCTCCCTTGTGTGTGAGTCTTTACAGAGCATCAGGGAGAGGTAAAAAGACCAAAGAGTGTGATGGAAAAAGGCCTGGGTTCAGTTTCCCAGAGCTTCATGTTCTACTGTATGCCACATTAATTCCTGGGCTATGAGTCAAGTGTGGTAATATACACATAGGGCCAAGCACAGGGAAGATTTCCTGTAAAATATATTCATTTTTACTTTTAAACTGTGCCTTTTTGACTGAGAATATGTTAAAGTGCTAATTTAAAACTTGATTCCAATTTTCTCTAATATCCTCTTCTTTTAAGCAGCAGTTAAAAGATGTAACCCAATTTTTTTTTCTTTGTGCTTTAAGGGCTTGACAGGACTGCCTGGACAACCTGGAGCGCGTGGGGAACCTGGGCTGAGGGGTGATCCTGTGAGTGGTGGCTGTGGGTTTTCTTTTTTAATTCTGTAGACATGAGGACTGTTTCCTCATGGTATAGAGGCAAAGAACAATTCAGTGTTCATTAATGCGGTATCTGTTTAGCTCGTCTTTACTGCACTGAAACAAACCAGAGATCTGAGAGTAAAACCGATCTTATAGAAAATTGGATTTGTAAAGAGCTTGGAATTTGAGTTGGATTGGGTGTCTGGGATTACTGAACAAGCAGGACTGGACAATGATAAAGAGTTCCCCTTTGATCTTCCTCCTCCTATTCCTCACCCCCTCCCCCAGTTCTGGGGATTGAACCCAGAACTTCGCACATGTTATGCATTCACTCTGCCTCTGAGCTGCCTCTCCAGCCCTTGCCCTCCTCCCCCTCATTCTCCTCCTCCTCCTCCTCCATCTTTCTTGTAGTTTATTTTTTATTTTTTTCCCCAGGGGGATCCTGGAATTGATAGTTACATCCAAGGCCCTAAGGGAGAAAAAGGAAGGCGTGGCCATCAGGTAAGATGGTCTCAGTTTGCTTGTGGGGATTTGCTTGTGGGTAGGAATGGCTGTTTGCTCTCGTAAAACCCTTGGGCATCCTGGCTGGACAGCACAGGAAACCAGAGAACAAAGCCCTGGACCCTGTAGCCGGTGGAGCCCTGAGTGCTACTCTCCACTCACCTCCTTCCGGAGTCTGGAGTCCGTGCCTTCCAGTTTCTTTTACCCTGCACAAGTCATCTCCCTCACCGTACACTAGTAATGTTTCAAAGGTCACTTTTTACCTCCTTAGCAAAGACGAAGCTTTCAAAATGAAAGCATCAGGTTCAGGTCTAGAAACTTTCCTTTCCACGTCTCCACTCTTCGGTGACATACTGCTCCAAAGCTGATCACAGTCATTATGCAGCTTCTTTTTCCGCTTGCTTTTCATCAAAGCCAGAGCTGACTGATGTGAAATGGGCGCCAGACATTTTAAAAGATGAGACCTCTGTGTAGTTCTGAAGGCTAGAGGCGTGGTGACAGAAGGCATTACAGCCTGGCAGATGCTAATTTCTTGGAAGCCATTTTTGAATTTTTTTTTTTACGGCTCAGACATTAAAATAAATGATTTTGAAAGAAACTAAAATAAAGTGTCTCAGTTCTCACATCTAATCTTTCCGAATTTCTAGGAATAAGGTCTGCGGAGCAAATATTTGCAACTGGGGGGGGTGTCTATTTACTTTGAATTCTGATTCCTTTGAAAAAAACTTTAGGTTGTCAGCTCTTCTCTCTAGATTGTGGCTAGTTGGAATCCACATTATGTACATCTAAGTCCTGAGTTAAATTCAGCTTGCAGACAGGTCATTTTTATGTAGCTATGCAAGAAAACGATTTCATCCTCTCATTAAATACAGCTGTTTTGAATAAACACATTGAGTTGTTTCCCTTGGTGAGTTGAGATCAGAGAGCCCCGTGAATAGCTCATTTGGGACTGAGCTACGCATATAAGGAGGAAGCAACCCTTAGCCCATCTGGGCCTTAGATTCCTCATCTGTACGGTGGGAAAGGTACAGAAACCATTGATTTCTATGAGCCATTGGCTGTCATGTGAAGAAAGGTCATAAACTGAGCACATGAGTGGATTGCCCAAGGCTCACTGCTGGTAAAGAACCCAGGTTCCTAGACACATTGCCCAGGGCTTTGCCCATCACAGCACCACATCTATAGCAAGAGCCTTGGGACCACAGCTTTCAAAGGTCTCTATCCCTGATGTTAGCTGGTCCTATTGAATTTGTGTTTCCCATGGTTTCCATGCCCATGTTGGAATCAAAGAAGGGTGTTAGCTAAATATCGTTTGAATAGACTTGCCTAACAGTTATTCCCATAGGTTACGTAAGCATGCAGCAGTGGGCGCTGACATTCTAGCCTGCCTGCTATTGGATAATAGACCTCTAGGGGGCAGTCTTTCCTTGCTATTATTTCTGAGAGGTACCAGCAGTTTTCAAAGTTGAAGAAAGAGAAAGTTCCCTGATGAAAATGTTTCCAACCAAGCAGAGAAACTGGAAGTCATGGAGAATCAATCACGCCAGTCAGAAGTGTGAAAATGACACTGCTGGAAAGAATGAAGGCCCATGCGACAGCTTGGGAAGGCAGTAAGCAAACGCATCAGTTAAGACTGTGTGTGTGTGTGTGTGTGTGTGTGTGTGTGTGTGTGTGTGCCTCTGTGTGTTTGCTTGAGTGTGGAGGCCAGGGGTCAACATCGAGTATCTTCCACAATCACTCTCCACCTCGTTTTTTGAGACAGTTTCTCACTGAACCTCACAGTTCAGCTGTGCTGACTGGCTAGCAGACCCCAGGAATCTTCCCGTGTCTGCTTCCTCGGTGCTGGGATTATGAGTACCCATCACTGTACCCAGCTTTTTATGTGGGTATTGGAGATCTGAACAGGTCCCCATAATTTCATGGCAAGCATTTTACCAACTGAACCATTTCTCAAGCCCCAAGACTTGTTTTTTTTTTTTGCTTTTGTTTTAAACATATTTATTTTAAATATACAAGTAAGAGAAAGCCTAGTACTGTTCAGCCAGTAAACATGTTTGACAGCCCAAGTTCATTCCCTTTCTTCCATGCTGTCCTGAGTGTCAGCTTCTGCCCTTCAGGCTTGGCAGCTCTGAGTACTTTGTCTTCAACCTTACATTCAATGCCAGAGGAAGGGGCTTTTACTCATTATTCCCAGTGACACTCTTTTTATAACTTATTATTCAAAACTGGGGTCCTATGTTCCCTACCCACCTTTGCTCCTCGTGGTGGTTTGAAAGAGAAATGTCCTTTATAGACACAAATGTTTGAACACTTAGTCCCCAGTTGGTGGCGCTGTTTAGGGGGAAGTCAAGGAATTGTAGGCAGTGTGGCCTTGTGGAGGAAGCAGGTCAGTGGGGGCCGGACTTGAGAGCTACTAGCCTTGCCTCACTTCCAGTTTGTTCTCTTTGCTTTCTGTATGTGCTTGAAGATGTGATCTCTCAGCTTCCTGCTCCTGCTGCCATGCCTCCCCACCATGATGGACTCTTATCCGTCTGGAACCTTGAGACAAATAAACTCTTCCTTCTACAAGTTTCCCTGGTCATGGTGTTTTGACACAGCAACAGAAAAGTAACTAATACATCCCTGGTCAAGAGATGCAGAGAGAGAAAATCTCTGGCAAAAGGAAATGCATTCACCATAATTGGCTTAGATCTGTGCAACTCACCCATTAGCAATGGGGATGTTGTCCCAAACAAAACTGAGATTTGTGTAGCAAGGTGAAAAGGGGGAAAGGTTGTTTGTAGACCAGCACAGTGCCTGCCACAGCTTAAGATCTAGACTTTTAATTCCTAGAAAATTTCCCAGAAGCTAATCATGGATCAATAGAGTTCGTGTCAAGTATAATTATTGCGGTGATTAAATTTTTTGATTTGTTTAGTTTTATTTTATGAGCATTTCACCTGCATCTATGTATGTGCACCATGTGTGCAATGCCTGTGGAGGCCAGAAGAGGGTGTTAGATCCCCTGGAACTGGAATTATGCATGGTTGTTAGCCACTATGTGGGTGCTGGGAATGAAACCTGGGTTCTCTGGAAGAGCAGTCAGTGCTCTTAACCTTTGAACCATCTCTCCAGCCCCTATTGCAGTGATTTTTTAAAATAGAAAATGAGGCTAGGATGTGGCTCAGTTGGTAGAGTGTTTGCTTAGATGCCTAAAAGCCTGTGTTTGACCCCCAGCACTGCATAAACTGGGTATAATGGTGTATACCTCCAGTAAGGAGACTAAGCCCTATAAGCTCTGGAGGTAGAGACAGGAGCATCAGAAGTTAAAGCTTATCCTTGGCTACATTGTGAGTTTGAGGCCAGCCTGGGCAACATGAGACCCTGTCTAAAAAAATACTGTCTAATAATAGCTACTTATGTACATAATGATGTGTCCACACAATGAAACTGTGTTAGGCAATGAAACATAATGTAGGAAATTATTTTTGTTGTTGGTTTTTGACACAGGGTCTCACTATGTAGTCCAGGCTGGCCTCAAATTCATGGCTAACCCTCCTGCCTTAGCCTTCCAAGGGCTGGAGCTGTGGGTGTGAGCCCCATGCCTGGCTTTTATATATTTTCCTTTCCCTTCTCTTCTGCCTCCGCCCCCTTTTTTTAAACTCTTTCCCTTCTTTTCCTTCTCCCTCCACTTTCCTTCCTGCTGGGAATTGAACCTAGGACCCTGTGATGCTAGGCAAGTTCTCTTCTGTTGATCCACATTCTCAGCTAGGAGATTATTTCTTGATGCGGAAAACACTCATGGTTGAAAAAAACAAAACAGGTTTACAGAAGCATGTGTTCAACTTCAGACCAAATTTGTGGAGAAACCCTGTCTATATCACTAGAAATTATGCATTTCTTTCCTTTTACTTTCTGAATTATTGAAATAGCCCATGGCAAACTTGTATTGCTTTTTTTTTTTTTTTTAGATAATGTCTCGTGTAGCTCAATTTGACCTCAAATTCACTATGTTGTAAAGGATGACTTTGAACTTTTTGTCCTCCTGTCTCCAACTTCTGAGTGCTGGAATTACAGGCATGTACCACCACGCCCAGTTTTCTAAGGTGCTGGGCACTGAACTCGGCTTCATGCATGCTGGGCAAATACTGTACCAACTGAGTTACATCCCTAGTTCTTTATTACTTTTTATTTTAACTTTTCGTTTTTGAAAAATCCTAAATCTACAGAAAAAAATCGTAGTTGCAAGAATAAATATCAGCTGTCACTCGTTTGCTTTAATATCTGTGTATGCACACGTGTGCGTGTGTGTGAATACTGAGCCACTTGAGGATTAATTAAAAGCATTATACCACATTACCTATAGGTATTCAACAGGCATATTTTAAGAAAAAATAAGTTATTGGCACAATATGGTCCTCACACTAAAGAAATTTGATATTTATATAGCATTATTTCCTACTACGCAAGCTCTTCTGCTTTCCCATGTCTCCGTTTGGGCTATTGTAATAGAGTACAGTAGACATTTATTTCTCACAGTTCTGTAGTCTGGGAAATTGAAGATCAGGGCCCTAGATATTTAGAGTGTGGGAAGGGCTGCTTCATAAATGACCTTCTTGGCTATAACCTTACAAGACAGAGAGAGGGTTAGAATAGGCTTTCAAGCCCCTTCTATTGCATTAATCCTATTCAAGAAGGTCTCTCTTGGGGCTAGAAAGATGGCTCAGCAGTTTGATCACTGACTGTTCTTCTAGAGGACCCAGGTTCAGTTCCTAGCACCCATATGGTAGCTAATAACTGTCTGTAATTCCAGTTCCAGGGGAGTACATGAGGGCATTACATGCTCAGGTGCACTTACGTATGTGCAGGCAAAATGTTCATACCCATAAAATATACATGATAATTAAATAAATAAATAAAAATTTAAAAAGAGTCTCCCTTGACATATAGATCACCTTCCAGAGGCTTCATACCTTCACCTTGGGGGTTAAAATGTCAACATGAAGTTCTTTTTAGGGTTAACACTGATACTCAGTCCCTGACATGCCAGTGATGTTCTTTAAGCCTGTTCTTGTTGTCCGAGCATCCAGTCAAGGGTTAGTCAGTGCGTTTAGGTCATCTTGCCTCTTCAGTTACCTTTAATCACAGCAGTTGCCCAGTTGCTTATTGATTTGTTGACATGACATTGATATTTATGGCCAGTTATTTTGTGAAACATCCCCCAGTTAGCGCTTGTCTGTTTCTCCATCACTAGAACCAGGTGGAACAGATTTCAGCAGGTGATTCAGTAGTGCTGTTCAGGGATACCATGTCTGCTTGGTTTGCTTTTGGTGACATTAAACTTAGCTACTTGATTAATTATGCTCACCTGCTTTTTCCATCGTGGACACATTTTTTTCTCCTTTCTAATGAATAAGTAATTTGAGGACTGATACTGCGAGGCCATGAATTTTCTCTTTCCCAACCATCTTTTCCCCAGTGGTTCTAGCACATACCCAAATAATTACCTCAGTGTGTTGGCTGCAAAATGCTATTAACGACTGAAGTAAAAAATGATAAATCTTTTAAGAAGAATTCTTATTTGTGTCTAGACTTACAATGAGAGGCTTTAGCTGCAGCCTTTTCCCACGTACAATCTGCCTTTCAAAAAAAGTGCATAAAAGTAACATTGCAAAAATGTATGGATATGGAAAAGTAGTGTGGAGGAAAAAATGACCAATATTTCCAGTAGCAAAGAACTTTCCTAACATATAACAGTTACTCTCCAAGAGTAAAGTCAGATAAGGATCCCATGGGCTTATTTTTAAAAAATTGTGTGTGTGACATGCATGTGTATATGTTCATGTGTGTGCACATTTGTGCATGGGTACACATGTATGTGTGTGTGTGTGTGTGTGTGTGTATATATGTTTAGGTCAAAGGACAACTTGTGGGAGTTGGTTCTCTTCTTCTATCATGTGAGTTCCAGGAATGGAACTCAGGTTGTCAGGCTTGGCAACAAGCATCCTTACTTGCTGAGCCATCTCACCAGCTGTCCACCTTATGGTGAGACAAGGTTTCTTCACTGAACCTAGAGCTCACTGATTTGACTAAGCTGGCTGTCAGGGAGCTCTGGGGATCCCCTTGCTTCTATCTCCCCAGCAGTGGGCTATAGACGGTGTTGCTGTGCCTGGCTTTTATGAAGGTGCTGGGTTCTGAACTCAGGTCCTCATGCTGTGTAACAAGTACTTTACCCACTGAGCCATCTCCTCAGTTCCTATTGTAACATAAAAAGTGAGAAGTTATCAATTTTCCTTTTTTGGCATAAAATTATTCTTTCACATAATGTAGCATACCCAAAAAGAACACCACCATATCACAAGCTGTTTTCTACTTTATAAATTAAAAGTCTTTTATGTATTCTTTGACAATTTTATACATGCAATGCATCTTGATCATATCCACTCCCAACTTCCCTCCCAGTCCTCTGGACATTCCCAACACATCACCTTTTCACTTTTACGGTCTGTCCTTTTTGTTTTTGGTAACCCACTGAGTCTAATTAGTGCTGCCTGCTGGAATCTTGACTGAGCTTGATGGCTTGACCTTGACCACATCATATAGGTCTTGTGCAGTATCGCAGCTGCTGTTGAGTTCATGAGCATCCTGAGGACAGCACTTCACAGCATTCTTCCCCATCCTCAGGCTCTTAATTCTTTCCATCCTCTATGCTTTGATGCTCCCTGAGCCTAGAGGAGGTTGATATTGATGTCTCATTTAGGGTTGAGAACTCAACAGTTATTTATTCTCAGCCCTTTGACAAGTCGTGAGTCTCTGCATTAACTGCTGCCCACTGCAGAAGAAGCGTCTCTGGCCAAGGCTGAGGGCAACACTCATCTATGAGTATAAACGAACATTTAGAAGGCAGTTTGATAGCATGTCCATTTAACAAAACAATGGCAAGTGTGTTCCCCTCTTTGGTCTATTACCTCCCCAGCCATGGGCTTTAGACCAGGCTTACAGTAGCAGGCATGAATTCCTTCCTGTGAGTAGGTTTCATATCCAATCAGAAAGTGGTTGATTATCCCTGTAATCTTCATGCTCATAGTATATACTAGTGGGCATAGTCTTGCCTGGAAAGTTGTGATTACAGAATTCAGGGTTCATCATCGGGTAAAACCACTGGTGATTTTTCTCCCCCAGCACCCTGCATATCACTTTCTGGCACTGTGAAAACTAGCCTGCAGGGAGGAAGTTGTCAGATCATTTCCAGCTTGGTTTCTCTGTATCCTGCAACTAAAATTTGTTGTGTGTTCAGCAATAGGGTCTTACCATCTAGTTCTGGTAGGCAATCAAGAGTAATGGTAACAGCCTGTGTTGCTTTGGGGACCTTAGGGTCTCCCTGAGTAATAGGTCTCCCTGAGTAATAATTCAAAAGGGGGTATCCCATGCCTGGCACTGAGATTTTCATTTAATAACCCATGTCTTTTGCGGGGAGCACTGCGTTCAAACTCCTTATTTTCTTTCAAAAATGTATTTTAGTGATCTTACAAAGTAGTGGGTTTCCATAAGCGTTTTTCATACATCTTTACCTCCATCTCTTACCTCCTCCTCTCCCCTGTCCCCATGACTCCATTCCTGCTTAAACCTTTAGCCCCCTTCAGTATTCCCCCTTCTACTGACATGTCACATGTGTTCTCACCCCTTTAAGTACTTTATAAACTTAAAAAAAGTTAAACAGATTTGTTTATCTGTGTTGTACCCAGATTATTTTATTTTATTTATTTTAATTTTTTAAATGTGTATGAGTATATTGCCTGCATGTATATGTGCACTGTGTTGTGCAATGCCCAAAGAGGCCAGAAGAAGGTGTTGGATTCCTTGGAACTGGAGTTATGGACAGTTAGTTACCATGTGGGCCTCTACAAGAGCAGCCAGGGCTCTTAACTGCTGACCCATCTCTCCGGATTTTTTTTTAGACACTGCCTTTGGTACTTTAAGCTGTGTGGCTGAGAACGGTGAAGTTCTGATCCTCCTGCCTATAAGTGCTGGGCTTAGAGGCATGTGCCACCATGCCCAGTTTTATGTGGTGCTGATGATAGAACTCAGGACCTCATTCATGCTGGGTGAGCACTCTGCCTACTTACATTCCCAGCCCAAAGAATTTTTTTTTGACAGGGTCTCACTATGTAGCCCTGGGTAGCATGGATTTCATTATGTAGACCAGGCTGGCCTTGAACTCACAGAGATCTGCCTGCCTCTGCCTTGGGAGTGTTGGGATTAAAGGAGTGTACCGCCATGCTCCGCTGTTTAAGTGGCTGCCAGGGATCTGAACTCAGGTCCTCATGCTTGTGCAACAATCACTTTACCCACCAAGCCATCTCCCCAGCCCCCATTTACTTCCTGAGAAATGCTGACTAATAGATGGCCCTGAGCACATGGAAGTAGTCTTTGTCTGTGCTGCCCAATATGGCAGCCACTAGCCACATGTAGCTGTTGAACATTTGGAATGTGGGCAGTGTTGACTTTCATTTCATTTTAGCTGAATTTAATCATCAGGTCTAGCTAGTAGCTTTGGTTTTGGGCACCACAAGTCTAGAATAAAACCAGGAATCTGTGCCATCATGCAAATCTTTCTTATCTCTTTTCAGGGCAGTTCTAGTTTCCGTGGATCTCTGGGGGAACCAGGCAGTGTCGGGCCTCGGGTAGGTATAACTTCTGGTGGGTGTGTTTCTCCTGCCTTTGTGGAAGAGGGAGGTAGGCTGCCTGAGAATTGGCTGTTTTCGTTTTTGATATCTTTGCTTCTCTTGTGTTCTTAGGGGTCACAAGGAAGACGCGGCCTGCCAGGGTTGAAGGTCAGTATTTCTGAGAGTTCTCTTTGTTCCACCGCAGTGGCTACTTTTATAGTTCTCTCTGAGGTCAAGGGGACTGCTGATTGTGTTGTTGGAAGTTGTGTGGGGATCGCTGGAAAGTTGCTGTGCAGACCTTTTGCACGAAGAAAGGAAAGTTTCAGTGGTTCTTTGCCTCCTGCCCAACTTGCTGCACTATTTCATTTTGATTAAAAGAATACCTTATAGAAGATCTTTCATTTCTGATATAATGACATTTCTGTTTGAAGACGTGGGGCTTTCTCTGTGTGTATGAGCAGGCTCACACTGTGGAGATGGAGGAGAAGAGCTGAGGTCTTGGCATCTCCAGAGGAGAGCTGGTGCAGTTTGATAGTGGGCTGGGGACTATTCCTGTGAGGAATCATGTTTGCTAAGCATTTACCTGGCACCAGGCAGTACACTAGATGTTTTCTGTGTCATCTCATGGAAAGCTTCCCACAGCCCCTTTTTGTATGGTCTGGAGAATGGTCTGTGGTAGCCATACTTTGGGTTTGAATGTGTGAGTTTATTAAGTATATAGCAAGGAAGATCTCTTGGAGTTCAAGGTCAGCCTGGTCTACTTAATGAGTTCCAGGCCAGCCAGGGCTACATAGAGCCTGTCAAAGAAGTAAAAGAATAAACAACAAATAGGAGATAGATAAATATACATACAGACAGATAGCAAAACAATAATCAATTGGGCACTTAGAAGAACCAGCAGAAGTTGACTGGGGAAACCCCTTTAAGGCAGCTGGCTTGAGTTCCCCACTGAGAGTTGGGCAGAGCAGAGTATCCCTTCGGGTGAGGCTTCCAGGTGAAAGAACAAACAGCACTGGGTCTGGTGGTGCATGCCTTTAATCACAGCATTCGTGAGGTAGAAGAGGCAGGTCTCTGTGAGTTCAAGGCCAGCCTGGTCTACATAGTGAGTTCCAGGCCAGCTGGGGCTGCAGGGAGACCCTGTCTCAAAAAGACCAAAAAACAAAAAACAAAAAAAAAGAGGGGAAGGGGGCTAGGGCGTGGTTCTGTGGTGGAGCACTTGCCTAACAGACAGGCTTAGCAAAAGTGAGGGACCTTGCTAAGTTCTAGCTAATAAATTCACATTTAATGTCTGTTGCTATTGACCACAATGTTCTTCGAAAATGTACAAAATCAGCTCATTACATTAGGCTTCTTTTGAACATAGTCTGGCCATGCTGTGCTAATATTTTAGAGACAGAGGAAAAACAAGACCAACTTATTTCAGCTTTGTTTGTTTGTTTTTTACAATGGGAGAGGAAGGTTTAGCTTTATTACCTGTCTGCCTCCTTCTCCATATGATTCTCTAAACACATCCTTGTAATGCATTTATTTCCTCCAGTTTTTTTTTTTTTTTGTCTTTTTGAGACAGGTCTCCCTGTAGCTCCAACTGGCTTAGAACTCATTATATAGACCAGGCTGGCCTTAATTTCACAGAGCTCAACCTGCCTCTGCCTCCTGAGTGTTGGGATTAAAGGTGTGTGCCACCACGCCTGTCTTTATTTTCCCCACTTTGGATCAGATGAATTCATTGTGTACCCAATGGCCAGGTGGTTATCACAGTTTTACAATTTTTTTTTCCATGAACCACCCTTTCCTTATTTGTTACATGTTCTGTGTGTCTACTGCTTATTAATCACAGAGCTCACTGACAGAAGTGTTGGACTCCCAGTATAGTCAATCATGTGAGGATTTCCTTTCTTAGACTCACCCCTCCTTATCCCCTATCCTCTTACTTCAACCCAGGCTTTTTAGTGTTTGTTGGGACAGATTTTGGATTAGTAGCCTTTCATCCTGGAACAGGGATGAATGTGTGCAAACCATTGTATTTAATTGGAAGCTTCTCCTTTCCATATGTTATAATCTATGAGTCCTGATAGTGGCTCGCTTGTATTCCTACTCAAGTTTTCCACCCACCCATCCATCCATCTACCCACCCATCCATCCACCCATCCATCCATCCATCCATCCTTCCTCCCATCCATCCATCCATCCACCCACCCACCCATCCATCCACCCGTCCATCCATCCATCCATCCATCCATCCATCCATCCACCCATCCACCTGTCCATCCGTCTATCTGTCTGTCTGTCTGTCTGTCTGTCTGTCTCTATCTATCTATCTATCTATCTATCTATCTATCTATCTATCTATCTATCTATCTATCTCTATCATCTATCTATCTGTCTATCTATCTATCTATCTATCTATCTATCTATCTATCTATCTATCTATCTATCTATCTTGTCCTGAGGATTAAAGCCAGAGCATTATGCAGGCTAGGCAAGCTGTCTTCCACTGGGCTATGTCACCAGTACTTTTAAAATTTTATTTTGAGACAGAATCTTATTAAGCTGTCCAGGCAGGCCTTGAACTTGAGGTTTTCTTGCCTTAATATTCTGAAGAGTTGGTATTATAGGAGCAGGCCACTAAGCCCAGTACATGTTTTTATTTTGTAATAAGAGAAAAAAATCGTAACTACTAATTTTTTAGGCTTTGTGGTGAACTGAGTTTGTCCAGCAGGTCAGTGGTTTGTTGCTTGATATGGTGTTAGAACACTGGTCTTAAAGCATCATTTATGTTCTGAGGCCTTAACTTGCTAAAGATCAGCCATTCCTATTGAAAGAATGCTGTTGCAGGTCTATGTACAGAGAGGAGACACCAAGACATTTCTTTCCTCCCGGAAGCCATTTATTCATGCTAGCACCTGGATTTGTGAGAGAGCTGTCAAAAGCCGAGCCTTGAACAAAAGAAGACCAGCCTTTTATACCCTCTGCTGGCGCCCCTTTGCAGTTTAGTTTCTTTGTCTCTCATGTATGGTAACACGCATACCCCAATTGGGCGCTGCCTGCTATGAGGTCATGACAGGCAGATTGTGTATGTGCCTTAAGGTACGGACCGCACTGCATTCCCCTTTCTTTGTTCTTGGGTGGGGGTGGGGGGTTCCTGCCACAACACGGCCTACAGAGGTGAACTGCAAATGACAGCATTCTTTGGGTCTTGGGAAAATACGACTCATTTCTGTCTAATAAGTTAGATCTGTTGAGTTTTACAAAATGCATAATGACATGAATAAAAATAAATTATAAATAACATTTTATAGAAAAGTTTGTATAGCAGCAAATAAATTAGACATGGACTTTTTTGGTAAAATCTTTGCATTTGTTGTCATGATAAAATTAAGAATAACATTTGTTTTGAAAATGTCCCGATTTTTGCACTTATTTTTGTGTAAATTATAAAGGGTTGTCAAAGTGTATATATTACTTTATATTTTGCTTTTCCATGTTTCCAGGTCTCCCTGTTATCATTTTAATACATTATATTTTATTTTAATACATTGTATTTTATTTTGATACATTATATTTCGCTCTGTCAAAGCACATGATTTGCTAATCTATTCTGAGGTTGGTTAGTTCTGTTTTTTTTTTTTTTCAGTTTGTTACTGATCTAAAGAAAAAGTACATCATGAGATTTTGTTTCATTAAAATTATTTTACTATAATATATAGACGTGAATTACAGTAAAAAGAGCCTGAATGTCATCAGTAGCCACCTTATTTCCATAAATGTTGTACAATAAATTCAATAATGCAATATGCAAATTAGATGCCATTTTACAAGTTGATTCAAAATTTCTGGTTACATTACTTTTTTGGGGGTTGGGTATTAGGGATTGAACACAGGGCCTTGCATATGCTAGGCAAATATAGTACTACCGAGCTCACTTTTTACTTTTTATTTTAAGACAGAATCTCATCAAGTTTCCCAGGCCTACCTTGAACTTACTCTGTAGCTCAGGCTGGCTTTAAAGTTGCCATCCTCCCACCTCAGCCTCTGGAGTACAAAGATTACAGGCCTGTGCCACCAGACCCAGCTTTGCTTACATTCCTTTTCAAGACTTGGTTCATGGGCTAGTGAGATGGATCAGCTAGTCAAGGTGCTGGCCACCAAGCCTGACAACCCGAGTTTGATCCCTGGGACCTACATAGTGGAAGGAGCGAACCAACTCTCACAAGTTGTCCTCTAACAGCTACATGCATGTTGTGGTACCCAGGTGCCCACATATATCATAAATAAATAAAACATCCCCCTACTTGGATCATATTTATAAATCTAGAAGGCAACCCTGACAAGCAGAGCACTGTGACAGTGGTGATTAACAGAAATGCCAAACAGTTTTAAAGATCTAAGAAAGAAGCACAGGCAATTTGATCCACGTATTGATTAATTCTGAGTTTGTGGCCTTTGTGTTTTGCTCATCTATGAATAATTAGCGAGCCAGTCTATATGTGAGCAACAGGAAAAGAATGAAGACCAAGTGTCTTAGTTTGTTCTTCATTGCTGTGACAAAACACTCTGACCAGTACCAACTTGGGGAGGAAAGGGTTTATTTGTCTTACATCTCCCAGGTCGCATGCAGTTCATCAGGGAGCCCAAGGTAGGAACTCAGGGCAGGAACCTGGAGGCAGGAGCTGGAGCACAGGCCATGGAGGAACGCTGCTTACAGGCTTGCTCCTCTGGCCCCTGCTCAGCCTGCTTTCTTATGCAACACAGGCCCACCTGCCCAGGGGTGGCACCACCCACAGTGGGCTGGGCCCTCCCACATCACTCATCAAGAAGATGTCCTTCAGACATGGCCACAGGCCAGTCCAATAAAGGCAATTTCCCGATTGAGGCTCCCTCAACCCAGGTGTGTCAAGTTGACACTAAAGCTATCCAGCACACCAAGTCACAGATTGTTACTATTCACAACCTTAGAAAACATGTCTTCTCTATAGAAATGAAGAACTAATTTGGGAGAGAAACTAAAATAGTTGTCAAATGAATAATTTTTCTGATCTTTAATGGAGCTTTATTTAAGAAGTCTGACCACAGAACATATTATCCTATTTGTGCTTTGATGGAAAAAAAGTATCATAAACAATCAGGAAGAATTGCAAAACATCACCGTTCTGTGTCTACTGCTTAGGAATGTCAAGTTGAGATTTTTCGTTTTTCTCAGTCAAATGAATAATTTTAACAACTCTCTTTTTGGCTGAGAGCTAGCTAAATGTCTTTAGAACTGTAGGATTTAAAATCAGTTTTCTGGCTGAGTATGCTGACACAGACCCGTAGTCCCAGCTCCTCAGAGGCTCAGGTGCAAGGCTCCCTTGAGCCCAGGAGTTCAAGACCAGCTTGGGCTATACAGCAAGACCATATCCTTCAACTTCACGTGAAGCTTTTGTCCCAGAATGACATGCTTGGTCAGCATTCAGTTTCCTTGTATAAGACAGAGGTCCTTAGCAGTAGGGCATATTGAGTCATATACCTTAAAGTGAGGGCTGAGGGGTTATGGAGAGTGCTTGTACACAAGCATGAGGACCCAAGTTTGATCACCAGAACCCATGAAGAAAAAGGCAGGCATGGTGACACTGTAATAGCATTAAGGAGGTGGAGACAGGAAGATTCCTGGGGTTCACTGACTAGCCAGCTAGCCTAATTGGCAAACCCTAGGTCCCAGTGAGAAATTCTATCTCAATAAAAGCAACACTGATAGTTCCTGAACAGGATACCCAAATTGACTCATGCCCCCCCAACCATATGCATGTGTACCCACGCATATACATACCTGCACACATGAGCCTCCCCTTCCCCCCAACACACACAGAGAGGGCTGGGCTTTTAGGAAGCAGTTCTTATGCAAAATAGGAGTTTGGATTATTTAAACAAAGATTTTTGCTTCCATCACTAGCTGAGCTGTTGGAAAGAGATGTGTGAAGACTGAGAAAAGGCAATAACAGTCTGCTCTTGTGTTTTCCCAGCCGAAGGGGACATCCCTCAGATTTTCTGTCACTGGGGAGGAGTGATCACAACTAGTCCAATCCCTTTTGTGCTTTCTCTTGGGGGCTTTTTGAGCGCTATCTTGCAAGGAAGACTGTCTTCAATAGAAACATTAGCAATAGCTGGTGGGCTCACTGCATTTTATTTATTTCCACAGGGTATTCGTGGAGAAGGTGGTGAGCTGGGTTACCATGGAGAGCCTGGATATCCAGGCCCACAGGTTGTATCAGGAACTTGGCTTTAATGCTGAAGGATATTGTTTGAAATTTTTAACTTCTTGTGTGATCAGAATTTAAGTCAGAATGATCTTGTGTACTTTCCTTCTAGGGCTTCTCAAAAGCAAAATGCATAACCCTTTTTTTGGGGGGGAAAGGCTAAACTGCAACAGCTAATATTTATCAGACTCCTATGTCCTTGATACTACTCTAAGCATTAGTATTAACTCATTTAATCCATCATTGGGTGTGAGTGGACTTATCCCATTCTACAGGGAGGAAATAGAGATGGGTTGGAGAAGGCAGGTAAATCGGTCGAAGTCACACAGTCAGTAAGTGATAAAGTTGGAATTCAAACTTGAGCAGCCTAGTTATAAAAATCAGTGTCTTAATGCCTTTGGAATTAGAATTTAAATTGTTCAAAAGCAATATTTAATTCATTAAAATTATATTCAATTTGGAAGGAAAAATCAGCAAAGTGTTCACTGTATTTATTATGGCCAGGGAACCCTGCTAATAGACCTTGAGATGCTCAGACCACCAAGACAAGGGTTTTATCCTCAAAGACTTCAGCCCAGTGAGGGACACAGTGACAAGTGGAAACTTGAACTTCCAAGCAGTTCTTTTGGAATCCTCAAAGTACAAACCTAATCTACCATTCTACAAGACCTGGAATCTTTTCAAGTCTTTCTTTTAAACATCAAATGATTTTCAAGTCTCCCCAATGGAAAAACTTTAAAAACAACAGACTTTTTACTCACATTGAATCTTTCTCCATCATTAAAAGTCCTATGAGTGTCAGATGATGATTTGAAAAGATTTCCATTGGTTTCAAAAGACAAAGGTACTAGAGAAAAAAATGGGTAATCAAAGCGTAATTAGAGATTGTATTTATTTTATGATGGAAAAATAGCATCAGGGGAAATAACTACGAGATCTATTTTTCCCATTTTCTCTTTGATCACAGCTCATTTCAAAATGGGGCCCCCTGCTACTGGCATGGCCCTGTGTTTCCTTCTATAGCCACTGCATTGTGCTGCTTTTTGAAAGGGATGTGCATCATGCTGGGAGCCATGAGATAATCGATAAAGCCTCTCCTTCCCTCCCGTCTCCCCACTGTGTTGTGGGGATGATGGTCTATTTAAATAGAGACTTGTCAATACCTCACCTGGGAGACTAGGAGCCAAGATCAATGCTTCTATTAGGAAAGTATTTCTCAGAAAAACTGGAGAAAAAATAGTGTCGAAATCACTAAGCAGATTGGCAGGAAAATAAACACCTTTCCAGCAGTGGAGTTGGCGAGATTAAGCCACTTAAAATGAACCTTTGGTTCTTAATAGAGTAAAAACCATACTCTGGTGTACAGAAGGAAAAGGTTCGTTTCCAAAGGAGAGAGATGCCACAGCAGCTCCTCCCACCCTACCTGTGGGGTTTAAAATTAGCTGGATGAATAAAGATATAAAATCAATGTTTTCAAATGTCGGTGTTGAACAGATTCAACTGGAGAGATTGTTAAGAACCCATGTCCTGTAGATTGAGTTTGGAGTGAGTGGACTGACAGTGCTTCAGCATGTAGACACGACCTGATTCAGTGTGGTAGATGATGAAGTGATGGGTCAGGGCATCTTCATTCAATAGGATCTAAGATAATTTTGTGGGTTTTATGGAATATAAACGTGGGCAGCACTATAAAAATGGGTGTCATCGATTGGACTCAGGCGCTATTAATAACAAAAACTGAAAAGAGAACGTGAAGTTGGGAGGGAGAAAGGATGGGGCACTGGGGGGAGGTGGTGGATGGATGGGCATGATCAATAGGCATTTTATAAGTGTATGAATAAAAATGTTATTTAAAAAAATATTGGCAGAAATTTAATATCACATTTGGAACAGGGACCAAGAGGAAGGCAAGGACCACCGGGAACTTTTGGACAAAAAGGGAGACTGGGTGCCCAGGTATGTTTGTAAAACAAATAGCCACGATATAGTTGCTCATCAGCAGTGACTGATCTATGCCTCTGAGTAGTCACAGGATGAACTAGTTGTTCTGGGATCTGAAAAGTTTCCAGGAACTCTAAGTTGATGCAGTGGATATTGATACATGTATCCCCTTTAATATTGGGAGAATAGAGGGACCAGTAAGTTATGGTTTCAAACACTGTAGATATGTATCACAACTCATAGTTATCCATGGTGTGAGACAAAACAATAGTGCCATAAAAGAAGTATAACTAAGTAGCCTGATCTTCATGGGAAGCAAGGACATGCTCAGTTTTGTAGATAAGGACCAGGTGACTCAGGGAGATTAGATGATTTGCTGTCTAAGTGGTCAAACTGGCCTCTGACTTAGGTCTTTCTTTGAAAAATTATTATTATTATTATTTTTTTGGTCTTTTTGAGACAGGTCTCCCTGTAGCCCCAGCTGTCCTGGAACTCACTATGTAGACCAGGCTGGCCTTGAACTCACAGAGATCCACCTGCCTCTGCCTCCCAAGTGCTGGGATTAAAGGCGTGTGTCACCACACCTGGCTAAAAATTATTTTTATTTTGTGTGTATGAATGTTTTGTCTGAATGTATATAAGTGCACCATGTGCATGCAATGCCTTCAGAGGCCAGAAGTGGGCATTGGATCCTCTGGAACTGAAATTATGAACAGTTGTTAGCTGCCATATGGGTGCTGGGAACCAATCCTGGGTCCTCTGCAAGAGCAGCCAGTGCTCTTAACTGCTGAGCCATCTCTCCAGCCCTCTGATTTAGGCCTTTCTAGAGCCTGTTCCACTGTCCACCAAATTTCTGTGGCTAGTAGAAGAGATCAAGACAGATGATTAGAATGCTTCCTAAGGAAGGGAGAATCTGCAACAGCTTAGATACCCAACAGCAAGATTTGAGTCAAGTTGAGCGTCTCTGTCCAGAGACTCAAAACTGCAGTTTAGGATTGCCAAAGCCATAGCTCTGGTCTCATTCTTTCCTCATGCTAATGTAAAATCTAGTGTATTATTTTAAATCTTACTGTGTTATTTTAAATCTCAGTTGAACATGTTTCCCATCTGGAGCAGGTAAAAGCTCAGGCTTTTGTCTTCCTGATCTTTAAACCAAATTACCTTTCTTCTAATTAATCCAGTTCTCTCTGTTTGGTAGATGCATAGTATGCTCTCTTACTCCTTCTAGCCTCCCCACACCCAGAGTTTAAATGTGTCTAGTATGCATTTTACATGTCAGACGATAAAATTAATGTGGTAAACATAAAAGGCTAAGCTTATGTCTCCATGCTGATTTACCTGCTCTTCAAGGACTGGAAGTACTCCAGTTCTGTAGATAAGGACACAGAGGCTCAGGGAGATTAAATAACCTGGCATCTAGACAATAAGTGATCAAATTGGCCTCCAATCTGGTCTTTATGCCTGTTGCTGTCACTCATAGATGATTCACGCGTGTGCTGCCAATTCCAGACTATTTCAAAAAACAGGGTCTCTCGGTTTATGGTGGGACTATATCCTGAACCCATCACAGGTTGACAATATCATTGAGTGAAAAACACATTTAACAGCCTAACCTACCAACAGTCACAGCTTAGCAACACAGCACTGTAGAGTTTCAGTTATTTACCCTGGGTGTTATGTGGCAGCAGCTCACTGCTAGTTCCCAGCATTACAAGACAGTATTGTACTGAGTATCCCTAGTCCAGGAAATGATCAAAATTTGAAGTATAGTTTTTACTAAATGCATATGATTTTTGCTCCACTGTTAAGTGGGAAAAAAACCTAATTAGGTCAAATGGCTGTAAGTCAGGGGTCATCTGTAATAAGAGAGTCAGTTAAGTTCATGGTCTTGTAGTGATTTTGGCTGTGGTGTTGTTACAGGGAAATCCTGGATCTCCAGGGCCAAATGGCTCAAAAGGAAAAGCTGGACCCCGAGGAATAAAGGTGAGCATCAGAGAACACACTCTTAGTTGCAACTTGGGGAGCCTTTGGGCTTTCTTAGATGAACCAACCGTCCCTACCACGTGGTCATTTCCAGCATGTCTCTGATGTGGTTGATGATGCTGTGGACTGCCCATTATCTTATAGCTGGATGGATGCATACAGACAAGCATATAGACAGATCTGTAGAAAGGGTCCCGTACATCAAGAAGCAGAGGTATATGAACAGGGAGATAAGCATGGGATTCGTTGAAAATACAGATTCTCACACTCACAGCTACAGAAACCATAGTAGGGGCTGGAGAGATGACTCAGCAGTTAAGAGCACTGGCTGTTTTTGTAGAGGACCTGGGTTTGGTTCTCAGCACTCACATGGCAGCTAACAACCATCTGTAACTCTAGGTCCAAGGGATCCGACACCCCCTTCTGACCTCCACAGGCATTGCACGTCAGGGGTGCACTTGCACGCATGCAGGCAATACACTCGTACATATAACACAAAAATAATAAAATATTTAAAAAGCCATAGTAATAAATTAGTAGAAAAAATTCTCTACTTTGTGATAAATATCTAATTTTGCTTATTTCATTACAAAGGTCACTAGTATACTTGTAATTAGCTTTATTTAATAAACTAGAGCAAACCTCTTCCCTCCCTCCCTTCCTTCTTCCCTCCCTCCCTCCGTCCCTCCCTCCCTTTCTTTTAAAACTAATTTTTTAGGTTAGCTTATAAAGCAATGGGTTTTGTCATGGCGTCTTCATACATATGTGTCTTATGCTTTGTTCTCATTCCTCCTCCCCCTTCCCCGCTGCCCTCCCTTCTTCCCCTCCTTTCGACTATCTCTCATTCTTTCCTCCGTTAGTTCCATCTTCTGCTTTGTTATGTGTTCTGTTCCTCTCTCTATTTCCCACCTCCCTTAGGCTCTCTTCTTCCCCTCTTGTGAACTCCTTTCTCATTTTGTGACCTACAGGCACACATATATAAACACATATATACAATTTTAAATTTAAACTCTGCATATAGAAGCAACATGCGGTGTTCGTTTTCGCAAGTGTGGTTTATTTCATTTAACATAATGACTTACAGGTCCATCCATTTTCCTGCAGATGTGGTGATTTCGTCTTTCTTTACAGCTGCATAAAATTCCATTGTGTTTGTGTACCACATTTCCAGAGTAAACCTTTAAGAAGCCTGCAGACTATGGTGATGCTAACAAGACTTGAAAAGAGTAACTGAACTCTCTAAGGAAATGGCACAAAGGTGCATAAACTCATGGGAGAAAATTAATTTCACCTCTCCCTTCTGTTAAAAGGGAGAGCTTGGTGACGCAGGAGGAAGAGGCCCACAAGGTCAGCAAGGACCAAGAGGGCAGCCTGTAAGTCTAGTTTCTCTGTTTTGAACTCCTGATTGAATTTCTTGTTTGATCTTTGTTCTTGTTTCATATAAAAGTTTAATATTCTTGATGAGTTAAACTTGGAGTTGCAAACATGACCTGATGACTAGAGCATTTCTCAGTCTAGCCCAAGGCTCTCTGAGTTCCACACACAGAGAGAACCCAAAGATGTCAGGGAATCTATCTACTCCATCTTCTCACCTGCTGCTGAAGAGTGAAGTGTCTGTGAACACCTTCTGTTTGATCAAGAGGTTTCACAAGAATCTGCAGAGATACTCAGAGTGATTTAAAAAAAATCTTTGTGTATGTGAGTTGTATGTGTATGTGGACATACTCATGCCATGACATGGATGTGGAGGTCAGTGGGCATTGATCCCACCTTTGACCTTTTTTTTTGAGATTTATTTATTTTTATTTTATGTGTATGACTATTTGTCTACATGTATATAAGTGTACCATGTGAGTGCTGGGTCACTACTGAGGGCAGTAAAGGGCATTGGATTCCCTGAAACTGAAAGTCACAGAGAGTTGTGAGGGGCAGTAGGTGCTGGGAACTGAGCCCGGGTCCCCTGCAAGAGCAGTTAGTGCCTTTAATCACTGAGCTGTCTCTCCAGCCCCCAGGCTTGTTTTTGATAGTCTCTTTTCTTCATACCTGTGTATGCCAGGTTAGCTAGCCTGTGGGCTCTGCCTTGCTATAGGAGCTCTGAGATTACAGATGTGTGTTTGTGCTACTATAGCCACCTTTATCTAAGTTCTAGGGATTCAAACTTAGGTCCTTACACTTGCATGGCAAGTGCTTAACCACTGAGATATCTGCTCAACCCCAGAGAGACTGTTTCTTCCAGATACTAGTTAGTCAGATACTCAGAGTTATGAACTTTTAAGAGCATGAGTTTAATTATCCAAAGTATAGGAATAAGTTTGGGGACCAAAGGTCATGAAAGTGTTTGACACATAACACTTTCAAAGGTGGGGGCTGTGCAGTTTTTACCTTACTCATTGCTCTGAACACAAGAGAGAATTAGTTATTGTATGACTGTTTTCAGTTCACCACTTTATTTGAGTTAGCTTTATTCTAAAGAGCAATGTTCTCTTTCTGAGATTTTTTTCTCTCTAATAGTTAGAGAGGGAGAGCCTGCAAGGGTTATTTTCCCCCCATTCAGCACCAGAATTGCATTTGCTGGGAAGGAGAGAAAACAAAAACAGACCCAAGAAGCTTAAATTGAAATGTGCAAGGAGAAAGAGCAGAATCAGGTTACTGTGAAATGGACTAAGGCAAATAATAACCTGATGATTTATAGATTACAATTTGTAGATTATTATAATCTACACTGTGAGAACCGGATGGTGAAATTAATACTTTGTTTGCTTTAATAAACTCGCTTGGTTAGAAATAGCACAGAGCTTGTGCCTCCTGGCCTGTCTCTCTCTCTCTCATTGTCCTTGTCTTTCTCTCTCTTTGAAAGCTGGGGAAGGGTATGTTTCTTGAAGGTGACATTTCAGGACTGCCATGACTGGACAGCTCCTCAGCGCTCCCCTCTCTGGAAGTGCAGCTGCCCAGGCTCTGGGTCTCCAGGAGGAAGAAGTCAAGGACTTGCATTTGCCTCCCCGCAGAGAATTCGTTTTTTGTCAACTCTCCTCATTATTTTTTCTTTTATACTCTTTTAAGATTTCCTAATTAGACCACAGGGATGTTCTTTGGCTCCTCAACTTTAAAATTTTCCCTTTTGGTTGATCTACTTGATTTAGAGGCAGTCATTGCTCATTTAGCAAAAGCCCCTAAAGGGTCTGAATCCACTGCTTAGCTTATTATAGGTACTTAGTACTACATGTACAGTTGTTGAGCTCTCCAATAATGTCACCAGTATATGTGTGTGCATGCATGTGTGCATGCATGTGTGTGGTATGTGTATGCATGTGTATGTGGTGTGTGCATGAATCGGTGTGATTTGTGTGTGTGGTGTGTACATGCATGCATGTGGTTGTGTATGCATGTGTGTGGATGCATGTGTATGTCTGTTTGAGGCAGGTTTCACTGTATATCCCAGGTTGCCCTCAGATTCAGCATCCTCCTGCTTTAGCTTCCTAAGAACTAGGAGCAGCAGCAGGTTCTCCAGCTAATGATCACTTCTATGCAAATTCTCATTGCTCTTCCCAGAAATCATACCATGTAGGTGATGCTGTAATACTATTTTGTAGATTGAGTAACTTCCCTCAGATCATTCACACAACCAGCACTAGATCTGTAATAAAAATCCAGATCTGCCTGGTGTGGTGGCACGAGCCTTTAATCCCAGCACTTGGGAGGCAGAGGCAGGCAGATCTCTCTGAAATTGAAGCCTGCCTAGTCTACATAGTGAGTTCCAGGCCACCTTGGGCTACAGGGAGACCTTATCTTAAAGACCAAAAAAAAAAAAATCTTCCATGTGTAGTGACGCACAACTATAATCTTAGTGCTCAGGAGGCAGAGGCAGGAAGATATGATTTGGGACAATCCTGGGCTGCAGAGCAAGTCTCTGTCTCAAAAAAAAAAGGGTCGGTCTGTATAATAGCTTGTGCACTGACCTGCTCACCTCCATTGCCTCTGTTCCAGTCCTTTCTCCAAGGTCTGTCTTTATCCCCAAACATTTACCAATTCCAGAGCTTCTCCTATTGTTACTTTGTCCTATATGGAAAACTGATATGTGATACAGTGATGTGGCTTTCTACAACTATGGTATCCTCTTGCTGATACGTAGAACCTGTTGTGGATTGAATTTTTTTTTTTAAAGCAAAACAACCAAAGTTTCTCATGTTATGGTCTTTTATGGTTTTAAGCCCCGTCCCTTCCCAATGTGAGTGTTTATGTCTCCCAGCCTTCACCAAGCTGCGTCCTCTTCCCCACCTCCTTGCATTGTGGGCTTATCTGAGGGTTTGGATACTTCTGTCAGCCAAGAGTCAATCTTAGCAACTCTACAATCAACTCATCTTGTGTTGTTTTCTTAGGGTTTTCCTGGTCCAGACGGATATGGTCACCTGGGAAGAAAAGGAAAAAAGGTGAGGGTAACTGAAAAGTCTTCTGACCTAAAACCACATTTTATTTTATTTCACTAGAATGAGAATGATTTTTCAAGAGGTAGGTCAGGAATGGTTTATGACATTTCTTAGCTGACAGAGTTCCTTCCTTGAGAAGTAAAAGACTGATTTAGTCTCTTACATATTTAAAAATCAAACCCCTTTGGGGCTGGAGAGCACTGGCTACTCTTGCAGAAGACCCATGTTTGGTTCCCTGTACCCACATGGCTGTTAACAACCGTCCATAACTCCAGTTCCAGGGGGATCTGACACCCTTTTCTAATCTTTGTGGGCATTGCATGACATGGATGCACATATAAACACACAGGCAACACACTCATACACATAAAAATAAAAATAATAAAGTGTTAAAAAATGAACTCCCTTGCTTCATCTTCCACCAGATATTCCCACCCCGTTCTGATCTGGAGACACCAGCCCTTTCCCAACTTTTTGTCTTCGCAAACACTGCAGAGTGGTCTTTCCATTCTCCCTCCCTTGGGTAGTTGTCACTCATTTTCTGAGATGAACTGAAACATCTTCTTGTTTTTATGGAAGCCTTCTTGGACATCACCGGCAGAATTTGTTGTCTGCACTGTGTCTCTAAAGCACGTTGTTCATCTTTCTTCTGATCCCCTTTCTAGGTTGTGCTGTGATTCCCCCTAACATCAGTGTCCAGCCCCGGTCTCTGAACTTACCAGCAAAGTGTATCTTCTTTTCTCTTTTTTCTTTTTTGTTTTGAGGATTGAACCTAGGGCTTCATACACATTAGATAATCACTCTACTACTGAGCTACATCTTCAGCTCGGCCCCACTTCCCTTTTTAGACCAGGTCTCATTCTGTAGTCTAGGCTGACCTCAAAAGCTTCTATCAATCTTCTTGCATCAGGCTCCTGAGTGCTGAGTTTACAGCATGAGCCACCAGGTCCAGCTATCCCAACCCTCTTTTTATCTTGCGGCCTCACTACATTGCTCAAGCTTGCCTTAAACTCTCTCTGTAGTCCAAGTGAGGCCTTGAACTTATGATCCTGCTTCAGCCTCCCAAGTAACACCAGGCGTGGTGGTGTGCTCCATTAATCCCAGGACTCAGGAGGCAGAGGCAGGTAGATCTCTGAGAGATCAAGGCCAGCCTGGTCTACATAGTGATTTCCAGAGGGGGTTGGGACTAGGATGATCCTGTCAAAAACAAACAAGCAACAAACAAACCAAAAAAAAAACAACAACAAAAAACCCCCAAAGTGCCAATTAGCTGGAATTACAGGCCTGTGCCACCAGGTCCAGCACATCTTGTTCATTTTTGTGTTGCTGGAATAAAGCTTGACATAGAGTAGGTTCATAATAAGTGCACATGGATGAATGGCTGCTGCCACCATAGGTCCTAGCACATGTAGTCTATGGGTGACCAACAGGTTCAGAATCATGGAGGTCACATGAAAGTTGTTGAACAGTAGACTCTGCTAAATATCTGTGGAATGATGAAGCTAGAGACATCAGAGTTACAGTTACAGTTAAGATACCAGAAACCCAGAGAAGTGGAGTCACTTACCTGTGGTCACACAGCTTGTCAGAGACAGAGCTGAGTATAGACATTAGATTCCTGGAGCCTCATCCAAATTAACTGTCTTCCCTAGGAAAGAGTTTGCATAGAAGGGAAATCCTGGGTAGAATTCAGATGTGCGTGTTTTGAGTTATACTCCGAGTGGAGTGCAATGTTTATTGTTAACATTATAGAACACACAGATTCATCGGCGTTTGCATGAACTTGCTTTGGCAAGATGTGGTGGCTTGCTGTTTCGGTTTCACCAGTCAACTCTACTATCCTTGACTGTTTGCTCTCCTCCTTGCCGAGTTAACTTTTTCATACCCCTCTTCTTTCCTTAGATCTCTGAGACCTGCTTTCTCTTCCACACTTAAAGCAGAGGCTCGCGTACCTGCTTCATTGAGAAAACAGAAGCGGGGCTGGGGAGATGGCACAGTTGGTAAAACACTCGCAGGGATCTGAGTTTGATCTTCAGAATCCAGATTTTAAAAAAGCACATGGTGGCGCATGCTTGTTTTCCCAAAGCTGTGGAGGTAGAGACAGGGAGATTCCTGGGGCTCAGTGGCTAACCAGCCTAGCCTCCATGGTCAGTTCCAGGCCAGTGAGAGACCCTGCCACAAATAGTAGGTGGGTGAACCTGAGAAATGACACCCGAGGTTGTCCTTTGGCCTTCACATGCATGTATACAGTGTACAGTCAGGCTTGGTGGCAAGCACTTTTGTCTTCTTAGCCATATCACTGGCCCCAACATTTTATATAGAAAAATTCAAACTTAAGTGAGTGGAGAGATTGCATATCGATACATGTACCCATCACCTTGATCCAGCAGTGAAAACCTTATGGCCAATTCTGTTTTGCCTTATACTCTCATTTATTCCCCCTCATGGCATTTAAAAAAATATTTTAAAAACAATTTTTATTTTATTTTATTTTATGTGTATGAATGTTATGCCTACATGAGTGTAGGTGCACCTGTGTCATGCAATGCCCTCAGAGGTCAGAAGAGGGTGTCAGATCCCCCCTGGAACTGGAGTTACGGATGCTTGTTAGTCATCATGTAGGTGCTGAGATTCGAACCTACAAGAGCAACCAGAGTTCTTAACTTCTCCAGCCCATGCCAGTTATTTTTAATCAAATCCCAGGATTCATACATTTCACATACAAATATTTCAGATTGCTTATTAAAAGATTTTTTGTTATGAACACTGGCTGCTTTTGCAGAGGACCCTGGTTTGGTCCCCAGCACCTATATGGTGCCGAGCAACTGTCTTTAACTCTAGTTCCAGGGGATTCAAGGTCCTCTTCTGGCCTTTGTGTGCACTGTATGCACATGGCACACTTATATACATGCAGACAAAACACTCGAGTATACACATAAAATAAAAATAAATAAATTGAAAAAAGATTCTTTGAAAGTCTAATCAAAATAGTATTCATACCTCAGAATTAACAACTATACCTTGGTGCCATCAAACACCCCATTAGTCAGGGCTGGAGAGCTGCCTCAGCAGTTAAGAGCATTTCCTGCTCTTGCAGAGGACCTGGGTTCAGTTCCCAGAACCAACATGGCAGTTAACAGTCTGTAACTCCAGTTTTAGGAGGTCTGATGCCCTCTTATGGCCTCCATGGGTCTTGCATGCATGTGGTGCACTTACATAACATACAGGCAAAGCACTCATAATAGAAAAAAAAAAAAGAATATCAGTGGCTGATTCTGATTCCCTCAACAACTTGCCCCTCCTCTGGCCTTTGTCATCTGAGGGATGGAGATTCCACCCTTTTGGTTTTTGTCCTTCTGGTTGCTTAAGACAGATGCTGGAGGCCATTTCGTTGCTTGAGACATTTCCTTCCTTCACACTCCACATTTAACCCATCAAAAATTATGGCAAGTCTATTTTCAAAATATATTCAGCATTTTATAGTTTCTCTAGGAGGGTTTTATTATATATAAAATGTGTGCATGTGTGTATATGCATGTGCACGTGTGTGTGTGCATGCATGTAAAGGCCAGAGGTTAACCTTAGACATCGTTTCTCAAGAGCCATCCACCTTGTTTTTTTGAGACAGGGCCTTTTATTGCCCTAAAGATCACCGAGTGGGCTAGGCTGTATGACCAGTGAGCACCAGGGATCTGCCTGTCTCCACCTCCCCTGTGCTGGGATCACAAGTATGTGCTGCTGCCGTGCTTGGCTTTTTAAATGTAGGTGCTGGGGATTGAATTCAAGTGTTCATGTTTGTGTGATAAGCACCTTACTGAATGAGTTTTAATATCTTCCTGAAATTCCTGGTTCCTTTATTTGTTTATTTTGCAATGCTAGGTGAGTGCTGTACCCCTGAGCTACACCCCAGCCAGGCATTTTATCATTTCTCATTGCTGTAGCTCCTATCTAGACCGGCATGGCTTTCCTCCTGGATTCCTGTGGAAGACACTGAACTCATGTCCCTGATTCTGCCTTTTCCTCTGTCTTATACTGTTAGGTCTTCAGGAGGCAGCCAGAGCCATTTTTTTAAAGGTGGAAAGTGATAGAGCAGGACACTGGATACTTTCTTCTGGCCTCTTTGAGCACATGCATGGCACACTGATGTGAATGTATACCATACACATGTGTGCATACATATCACACACATACACACATATACACACACAGAATGAGACTGGCTAGTGTCATTTTCTAGAAACATAGTAAGACACTGCTTTTGGGCCCTTTGGCTAAGATCATGTGTAGAAACATTATATGACCATGTCACTCCCCTGCTCAAAGCTTGCTGTGGCTCCCTATGGCACCAAGAATAAAGCCCACGGTTCCCATGGTCTGTGAGACTCTATATATCTGGCCTGTCTGTGAACTTGTTAGCTTCATCTCCCCTGCACCATTCCTCTTCAGCAGCCTCTTCCCTCTGACTGGATGCTTTCCTCCCAGAGCTCTGTTTAGTTTGCTTCCTCAATTCATGATGGTCTTTTCCCAAATACTGCCTTTACAAAAAGGCTTTGACTACCTTATGTAAAATAGTCCTTAACACACACACACACACACACACACACACACACACACACACACATCCTCTGTATATACAGGTTCCCATCCACGGATTTAATCAACTTCAGATTGAAACATTTGAAAAAAAATTAAAATTTTACCTCTGTACTGAGCATATACCAACTCTTGCTGTTTTTCTCTAAACAACACAGCATACTGCTGTTTTCTCAGCGTTTGTGTTAGGTATTAAAAGTAATCTAGGGATTGAAGTCTGGGAGGCATGCAGAGGTTCTATGTAAATACTGGACTTCACAGTATCATATTAGGGATTTGACCATCCTCAGAGTTTGGTGTTTGTGGGGGATATTGGAACCAACTTCCTGAGATACTGAGAGATAACTGTAATTCTTCCTTTTCTGATATACTATTCTAATTTATTCTTTGAGAATTTCCTACACGTACACAATGTATTTTGATCATATTCACCCCCACTCCCCTCATCATCACCACCCCAACATCATATCCTTGTTTTGTTGTGTTGTGTTTTTCTTAGTCTTTTTTTCTTTTTCCCTTTTTTTTTTTTTTTTTTTTTTTTTTTTTTTCCAGGTTGACCTCAAACTTGCTATGTAGTCGAGCATAACTTTGAACTCCTAATCTTCCTGCCTCCACTTCCTGAGTGGTAGGATAACAGGCATGTGCCACCATGTCCTTATGTGTTGCTAGGGCTCAAACCCAGGGCTTTGTGCATGATAGACAAACCCTCTACCAACTGAACTCCACACCCAGCCCTGTAGTTGTCTTTGTATTCTGTCTCTGCCCGGGGCTGAGTGTGGGCAATTGAAGGGGAGTAAGCAGAAGGAGATGAATTTGTTTTTTTTTTTTTTTTTTTTTTTTTTTTTTTTTTTTTTTCTTTTTTTTTTTTTTTTTTTTTTTTTTTTGAGACAGAGTCTCCGTGTAGCCCCAGCTGGCCTGGAACTCACTATGTAGACCAGGCTGACTTTGAACTCACAGAGATCCACCTGCCTCTGCCTCCCAAGTGCTGGGATCAAAAGCGTGAGCCTCCATGCCCAGCCTTATTTGTTTTTTGACTCACTGAGTCTAATTAGTGTTGCCCACATCCACATAGGTGTGGGGGTCATCCACCAGAGTACAGTCAGTCTACCAGAGGCTATACCCTAAAAACAAACTGATTATTCGTCCCCTAGCAGACATCAACTGTCAGTAGCAACTCAGCCTTGGGTGGGGGCTCATATGTCCCTCTCCCATCCATGCTGCAATACTTTCCTTCCACCATGTGGTCCTGGGGATCAAACTCAGGTCATCAGGCTCGGTGGCAAGTGCCTTAACTCACTGAGCCTTCTTGCCAGCCCATTCTTCATTTCGTTAAATTTTTAAAAAAGATCTTTTAAGATTTACTTTTATTTTTAACTATATGTATATGTGTGTGCCTGTGTGGGTATGTGTATGTGAGTGCAAGTGCCTGCAGAAATCAGAGGCATTGGCATTGGATCCCCCAGGAACTGGAGTTAAGGCAGTTGTGAGCTGCCTGATGTGGGTGCTGGGAATTGAACTCCGGTCCTCTGGAAGAGCAGTGTGTGCTTTTGGTCACTGGCCATCTCTCCAGCACCCTCTCCCTTATTTCTCAGTCTCTTTTCAGGAATACTGTTTATCTCTGAGATGTTGTAGTTTCTTTGCTCACTTGCCTCGCCACTAGCATTTGGTGGGGTCTTTGTCTTGTTCGGTGCTGAGTTCCCAGTGCTTAAAGTGCTTGGCAAACAGTAAAGGCTGAACAAGTGTGTGTGGAGCTAGTGAGCGCCCTGCAGCATGCCTTTGGTTCCCACAGTGAGCGCTTGCTTCCCAACATTCAGTTTGTTGCCCCTCGCTTCGCTTCTCATTGGATCAAATCTCAGTTGGTTTAAACTCAGGAATAAAATGCCCAAGAAGGAAGTTTCATTATATAGTATATCAAGGAAGGGGACACTTTGTAAAATTCATTTACAGGTTGTTTCATATTGAGCTCTGGGATTGCAGTGTGGCCATTTGAGAGAGACTGAAGATAACAGTTTCCTGTAGTTGTTTTTACTGGCACCTATTTTGAGTCTGTTTCCTCAAAAATTACAATTTCTTCTTTTCCTTGAGGAATGTCGAAGGAAAAACTCAATTATTAAGTGTTTTAGTTACTTTTCTGTAGCTGTGATTAAAAAACATGACTAAGGCTTCTTACAGAGGAAAGAATTTATTTGGCTTATGGTTCCAGAGGGATAAGAGTCCATCAAGGTGGGGAAGCATGGCAGGAGGGAGCTGGAGCAGAAAGATGATAGTTCATATCTTCAGGCACGCACAAGAAACAGAGTGAGTGAACGGGAAATTGGATGAGGCGGTGAACTCTCAAAGCCCATCCCCAGTGACGTGCTTCCTCCAGTAAGAGCACACTTCCTAAACCTCTGCAAATGGTGCCACTAACTGGGGCCAAGTATTTAAATACACGAGCCTCTGGGAGACATTCAAACCAGCACCATAAGACACTGAACGTTTTCTTCTCTCATTTCTGACACTAGGGTGACCCTGGATTCCCTGGCTATCCTGGTTTGCAAGTAAGAAGATACCTTTCGGGGTCTGGCAACTGGTATGTAGCATGTGACCCTGGAGTGCACTTCTTTTTCTTTACATTCAAAGTTCTGCTTTTGACTTTGTTAAGGGAGAAGACGGTGACCCAGGTGGCCGAGGAGAGAAAGGGGTCAAGGGAATCAGAGGAAAGAGGGTAAGAACCAAAGGCTTATCACCCCTTATCACAGGTGCAGATTCCATCTGCTCAGTGAACTTCTAGGCAGGAAGCCTGTCCCTCCTCTCCCAGTACACGTTCCACACTTCTACCTCGTCCTTCCTCACCTTATGAATGGAAATGCAGCGTAGCTCACCACATCATAATAATGGAAGACAGAAGCTGGAGTTTCACTTATGCAATATCAACCTGGTAAATCTAGATGAAAGTTGGAAGGACATTTTTTTAGTTAGAGAGTCAACATTGTTATTGCTTTAGGATTCTTCCGAGTCTCAACTGTCTTTATACTACTTGAGGACTAGATTCTCAAGAATGTGGCTGCTGTCTTGGTAGACTTTGAGATGTCTGTGTTTCATCAAGTTTCTCATTAAAAACCCATTCCTTCAGGTTCTGCAGATTAAGTATGATTAAATTTTTTGTTTTGTTTTGTTTTTGAGAAAGTCTCCTATGGCCCATGCTGGCCTTGAACTCATGTAGGTAAGGCTGGCCTTGAACCTCTGATCCCCTGACTCCACTTCTCAAATGCTAGGGTTACAGGTGAGTGCCATCATGCCCAGCTTTGAAGATTGAGTCTTGAAGAGCCGCAATCAGTCAGAACTCTTTTAAAAGTATTAATTAATTAATTAATTATCTGTTTGAGTGTTTTGCCTGCAGGTATACAAGTGCACCACATGCATGCAGTGCCCACAGACTCCAGAAGAGGGTGCTGGATCCCCTAGAACTGGAGTTATGAGTGGCTGTTAACTGCCATGTGGGTGCTGGGAAATGAACCCAGGTCCTCTGTGAGCCAGCCCTGGCAACTCCTTTTGAAAAGTCACTCTGTGGATATTAGCACCTTGGTAGTGTTTAACTAATAGACATTAGAAAGCAAGCCTTGGGCTGGCCAGAAACTCAGTAGGTAAAGTCACTTGCCACTGTGTCTGACAACTTAAATTCAAACCCCAGAATCCACATGGTGGAAAGAGAGAATTGACTCCCCACAAATTGTCCTCTGATCTCCACATGTGCGCCACGGCCTGTGCACATGCCCCATACACCACTAATTAAAAAAATGTGATAAAAATTAGTAAAAATGAAATCAAGGCCTTCTGCGGGAGAGGACATGAACTCATGTTCAGAGCAGAAAAGAGGAATGGAAAGAATATATATTTTCCACAGACTCAAATAAATGGAATTTCTGTCTGTTGGCAAAGACACAAAAGCAATCTGACCTGTGTGTGCCTGGCTTTCTCTTGACTGTAGTTGCCCTGGTCAGCTATCTCTACCATCAAATAAAGAAGTGAAGCATTGGGGCTGGAGAGATGACTCAGTGGTTAAGAGCACTGGCTGCTCTCGCAGAGAACTCAGGTTGGGTTCCCATCCCCACATGGTGGCTAACAACCACCTGTAACTCCAGTTCCAGGGAATCTGACACCCTCTTCTGACCTTCATAGGCATCACATGCATGGGTGCACTTACATACATGCAGACAATACACTCATACACACAAAATAAAAATAAACAAAAATTAAAAATTGGAAGCATTAATTAGATCCAGATAATCACTGCTGTGTTCCTTCAGCTACCTAGAACATGAGAGGTAAGCCTTTGCTCATCACATGCCTTTGCTGAGACACTAAGTCCCAGAAGGAATTAGGGGAATCTTCTATTTTCCCTGATACCAGGTCCTTAATTCAGACTTCATGAATTATATTTATCATTTGACCTTGAGACTCAATTGAGAACTGAATCTTCTTCTAAAGCCTAGAAATATGTTTGTGTATGTATCACACACTTAGGCAAACTGGGGTTAGATAGGCAAATTAGAAGGAAGTCAGATGGTCTTCATGAAATCTGCCTGTCTCTCTCCGTGGATACATAGTTCTCAGATTGACTGGTCAATGGTAGACTCATTGACCTTAAGAATGAGGACAGTTTGCTGTCAGGAGGGTCAGTTCTTGCAACCAAGGGGAAAATTCATTCCTTTGGTTTGGTTTCTTCATTTTCAGGGCAATTCTGGCTTTCCAGGATTTGCTGGAACTCCAGGTGAACAAGGCCCACCAGGAAAAATGGTAATTAGTATACCTCCCCTCTCCCTACATTTATTTTCAACCTTGTGCAAAATGAGTAAGAGTTCAATAAGAGGCTCACTAAAGAAATGAACATTTGGGACATTTAAGAGGGTCAAAAGAACAGACCAAATTTGTTTAGAGGATATTAACTTCAAGCATTACACAGAGTCTTTTTCTTTGGGGGCAGGTGTTTTTCTGTTGTTGTTTTTGACAGGGTCTCCCTAGTCCCATCTTGCTGGCAGCAGATGAAGAAAGAGCCTGAGTAGGTTATAGTGCAGTGACCTGCTTGAGGCTACAAGCCACTACCTCAAAAAGTCTGAACAAGGCTAAAGATTTAGGTCCCAGAGGGGCTGGAACCAGACAGCTATAATCTGAAGGTTCCAGGCAGGGTTTGCCCACTGTGAGGACAGAGACAGGGTGGGGATGAGAGGTTGAGTAAAAGTGTGGGCAGGTGGAAGAACAGGAACAGAGGAGACCTAGGATGTACTTTTGAATAGCCTGTGGTAGGGCCTGAGGTCTGGAATGGCCATTTCCTGAATTTGAACTTGAACTATGGTTTGGTTTCAAAATAGCCTTGTCCTCTGAGAGACTTTAAGTCCCACCTGTCTGGGCTTCCTGGACTCTGAGGTCTGGGGTGCACTCCTTAGGCATTCTGCCTTCCTTACAGGGTTAGAGGCTAGAGAGAACTCCAGGGCCAGGAGAAAAGGGTGGGGTATGTGTCATGGCAAGTGTTCTCAGCACCATGTGTTAGCTGTGGAATAGTTGTTAGATAGCAGAATCTTGCATTTCAAAACAAGTTTCTGTTCTTTCCAGGGCATCAAGGGCCCAAAAGGTTTGGTAGATATGACGGTAGGTAAATATTTTTAATTTTAAATTTCACTTTTTTTTTCCTGGAACATTCTTAAATGAGATTTGTTAATCTTAGAGTTAATTTTTCTTTTTATAAATTCTGTTAGTACTATAAGTTTACAGGTTTTTCTCTGAAAAGTCACAAGCAAGTCATATAAAAAGCATAGAATAATATTTTAAACATTGATTGACACAAAAGGGGCTATTTTGAAGTTGCTACCTTCCTGCACCATGCCTCAATGTAAAGCTCAAACATTGCTTAGTTTATTTATAATTTTTTAATAAACAAGCACACAGAATAGTAGAGGCTTTGTGTCTCATAGGACACTTATAAACAGCCTCAAAAGTTATGATGAGTGTTTATCTCCCAAGCACACAAAAGCTGCTAAGTAAGGGTTGTGATATGGAAACAACCAAAGAGTGGGAGGTGACGGGGTCGGAGGTTGAGAGAACAGAGAAGAAGGGATAAAAGGAGACAAGTTATCAGCCTGGGGATGTGGGGCAGTCTCTGCAGCCATTCTAAATAAATACTCTAGGAAGCGCTACTGTAGAGATCCAAGCATTGAAAGCAATTTTCCAAATTTTCTGCTGAGATTCCTGGATTTCACCTTCAAAATCAGATTTGATTCCATTGGTTTGTGAGGTAGGTTACCGAAGAAAAAGGTTTCCCTTACCTACGGATCTCACCACATTGTATACAAAATCCTTGAAATACCTCCAAATAGCCACGGGATCTAGAAATGTAATGGTTAGTGGGTGTCATCTGCTCTAACAGTTTTGGGCTTTTCTGTGACAGATTAAAAAGCTTCAGATATGCACTGATAGCATCCACATGACATGTCTAAGTGATGAGAGTGAAGAGAATATGTTTCACATTACATGCTTATTTCCTTTCTGGTCTTTCTCCATCTTCCTAATAGCCTTGTGAAATTGTTGACTTCATTCGAGGAAATTGCCGTAAGTTGTTGGGGCGATACTTACATGGAGCCAGTGGTGCTGCGCGACAGTTGGGGGCGGGTGGATCAAGGACTGGGGCATAAGTCACTTGAGGATTTGGCTGAGGCTTGGAGGTGGCTTGTCCATCACTAAAAGTTCTTATAAATGAATATATTAGGCTTAGTCTTCCTTTGAATAAATTATCTCTCCCTAAGCAGTTTCTGAAATGAAGTGGTTTGAAAGCCATACCATCTCAATAACGAAGAAAGATTATACCGTTCAGTGTTGTATATAAAATGTGATCATAATCTCACACCTACGTGACTGATCTGGGTGCCTGAAACAGAGAGGAGCTCTTTTCTTTTTATTTCATCCATCTAAACATGCGGGATTGATGATGAGCCTTTGAAAAGAAATGTGTCCTATCTGATTTACAGTTCTGTTGCAGAAATGGAACTGTGAACCATTAGATCTTAAGTACTGTTTTTCCCCCCCACATTCCTGATTGCTGTTCGTATACTCTCCTTAGAGCATTGTAGACACTCGAATCTAGAAAGAACACCCCTCCACTTTCTGGTAATAGGGTAAAAGGACAGTGACTTGCCACAGTGCTTAGATGGACATTTGAGTTTTCTCTATAGTCCCCTGCTTTTTTTCTTTCTTTTTTCTTTTTTTTTCTTTTTTTTTGCGGTCTTTTTGAGATGGGGTCTCGGTGTAGACCAGGCTGGCCTTGAACTCACAGAGATCTGCCTGCCTTTGCCTCCAAGTGCTGGGACTACAGATGTGCGCCACCATGCCCAGCATGTCCCCCCCTGCTTCTTGCTCTACCCTTCTGGCCAGTCCCATTCAGCTGCTGTTCGGGGGATTCTGGAATCCATTTTCTTGGAAGTCATAGAGCAATACTAGCAGCTTGACCATAAAGGAAGAGATGGCCAAATGGATGGTTAAAACCCCTTTACACTTAAGAGCACCATGGAGTCAAAAGCAAACAGAATTTTAAGTGAGACAAAAAAAAAATACTTGTAATAGAAGCAGTAGACCCAAGTAGAGGGCTTAACAGCTCTCCTACATCATGCCAAGATAAAAATCGCTCCTGCATAATCATTTTTATTTGTAAACAGAAGAAGTTTGTAAAGGATAAGTCTAAATGTTAAAAGAAACTTCTGAACTGGAAAAGGCAAAAACAGGAATGGGGTTTCAGAGAAGAGAAAATACAAATAAACCACCTGGAACTAGGGTTACAGATGGTCGTTAGCCGCCATGTGGGTGTTGGAAACCAGACCCGGGTCCTCTACAAGAACAACCAGTGTTCTTAACTGCTGAGCCATCTCTCCAGCCTCTAAAAAATTATTTGTATGTTTCTATTTATATCTAGATATACAGTTGAATGATGAATTAAGGGTAATTTAAATGTTTTCCATTATTTTTCATAAGAAAACATTGTGTAAATATATACACTTTTGCATGAGATGTATAGTTTATGTAAGGCATATACATTTTACATAACTTAGAGTTTTATGTATGCATGTATATATGGTATACATATAAAATATAGCTTCAGAATATCTCAGTGTATTGGTTGGATTTAATTTTAGTTGAATGTAACCTAAGTCCTCAACAATAGTGGGAAATATGTTTCTCAAATCAAAGCCTGGACGTCATCAGTCTGGGTTGATATGGAGCTCCACGGGCTTCCTGGATAGAGTTGTCTTGTATTTTCTCACTCTGTCACTGTGTGGTGCGGCAGAGACACCTTATTCCACAAATTTCCTTGTGTTCCAAGCAGTAAACCAAGTTTCAGTCACTTTATCTGCATTTCATCCAGCAGGAAGGAAAGGCAAAGGACGCCTTTTTTTTTTTTTAAGTTAGCCTACAAAGTAGTGGGTTTCATTAGGGCATGAAGGTGCTTTCTCAAAGTCTCACTGTTTCCCTTTCTTTTTAGTTTTATGATTATTTAAAAATTATTCTAATTTAAAAACTTCTATTTATTTATTTATTTATTTATTTATTTATTTATTTGGTCTTTTTGAGACAGGGTCTCCCTGTAGCCGCA